AGGCGTTGTGGAACGCAGCAGTAGGATGCAGTAGGGCAAGTTGAGGCACCAGATGTCCTTGTTTTTAAGTTTAAGCCTTTTCTTGTTTGCCTCTTTTTTGGGGGTGGTACACCATGCTGAAGCCCATGCTGAGATTGCCACATAGGCGTTCATGGCGTTCTCGCTTGGATTCGCTTCGTGCATTCTTACGTTTCGTCGAGTACCTCAGACGTGCCAAGCAGAAAACCAGGAAAACTGAAGCATCCGAACCCGCCTCAGCATTCACCTACAGCCTGGCTTGGCGCACTGTACTTGCGGACCCCTGCAAATAATTGATGTTTCAAGGGAAAGAACCTGGCTCACAAGCTGACTGGAAGTTAGTTGGTTTTGCGACCCGGGGCCATACGTTTTAACATGTTTTAACCACGGATGAGCGTAACCACTTGGATCGGCGCATCGCACAGATGTTCCGAGGTGCACAGTTGGGGCAGCGGCGAGATGGGACAGTTGGGCTTTCCACTCCTCGAGGACGCGACGCACGCGGCCGTCGTGGCGAAACGGTGTGCCGTTTCGCTCGGTGCTGCTGCAAGCAGTTCGGAAGCTGTTTCGGTGACCTGGTTGTGTGGAGAGTCCAAAGCAAATCCTCCAGCTTTAGCATAGTGTGTATGTAATGTCATGTAATGTAGTGTGTAGTATAGTGTAGTGTAATGTATGTGGGTACGTGGGTGAGTGCGTGGGTGGGTGGGTGGGGGGTGGGTGGGGGAGAGTATGTGTCCGCCATACAATGCAGAATATGTGATATTGGTTGGCTGATGTTGGCTGAGATTATTCATTTCATGGCAACCTGGCAAAGGATGGAAAAAGGGTATTCTATTGGAAGTTGAGCCCTGAGTACACTGTGTACCTTTTGCTCTGGACGAGGAATTGCAAACAAAAGGGCCATTTGGACAGGCAGAGAACCTGAAAGGACGCAGAGAAGCTTCTCCAAGCCAAGGTTCGCTCCATCTTTCGAGCGGCAGAAACAGCATGAGTCCATGAATACCTTATTTTTCCAGAGGTCCATCCAGTTGCTCATTCTCTTCGTTCCCGGGGTTTGAAGAGGAATGACGTGACATCCGAAGAGGTCGTTGCTATCCGTGGTCCAAGAATGGTCTGTCCAGAGAGGTCACAGATGTCCATGGTGTAGGCTCTATATGGAACCGGCCATTGGTTTGCATGAAACACCATGTCTTGAGGTTGATAATCTGATAAGTTTTTCGAGCACTTTCATGACATGTTTCACGATGCCAGGCACTGTTCGATGCAGTTTTCACCCAGCAGTAGGAATAAGATTCAATTGTTTGAATGCTCTCCAGATGGTTCATCCCATGATAACTTTTGAAAACGAGGTTTGTGATTCTCAACCGTATAATCTCACCTGGATTTCTGTAGATCTCACGCTGCCAGCATTTCTGTAGAATCTCACTCTGATCGCAGCGGAGTGTCAGGACCTCCCCAAGGACCAGGATGGCTACCCCTATGAGCCCACAGCAGGTCTCATCAAGGCACCACCGGCGGTCAGGGAGAAAATCCGCCCAGCCCAAGAAAGTGGCGAAGGAAGTGGCGATGTTAGTTTTTTTTGGTGAAATATATATATATATATGTGTATTAAGATTGATTAAACATGATTAAACATATACTTGTATGCTTGTATGTATAATTATGTATATGTATATTTGTTGCATTTATGGTGATGGAAGATCCACTCAAGAAAGCACCTTCAGGGACGTTATCACATGTCACACAAGGAGCATTCCACCCGTTCCCATGGGCGTTCCACCCATGATTGGAAGGTTGATGTCTAAATTCCAGGCATAGATCCGGGAAAGGTCCTCTTTCTTAGACTGACAACAACGTACAGAATCACCAACAACAGAGATGTTTTGACCTCTATATATATCCACTCTTTACCTGTCCTTTTAAGATCCATCAATCATGTGCTTCATGTTCATTGTTTGCTCAAAGTGTTCCAAAGCTGGCCCCTTCCACCTAAACATCGCGGGCCTTTCATACTGTGGTGCAGCATCAGAAAAGCAGAGGACTGTTCCTTGACTTTTGCCATGTGTTCAGTGGAACAAGTGTGTTTTTACAATCACTTGCAACAAGCTGATTCAGGGGCCTTGAAGGCCTTGACAATTCACGCACACAGGATTCAGGGGTCTTGGAGGCGACCGATTTGTTGACCCACTGCAACAGATGTGGCTCACAGCATCCAGGTGAACAGTGGTGACACTGACCGCAGTGTTTGGGGTGGCACCCCACCGGGGTTTGCCCAGTATGCCCCAAATCACCATGGGCTGACCTGGGGTTGACCTAGTGACCTAGTGACCGAGCTCCAGCTTTAGAGACATCCAAGGCATCAACCCACCAACTCATCGAAGCCAGGCCACATGCCAGGAGTCACATGGAGTTGGGTGACTTGGCTCGTCCCATCCAGTGAGTGGACCCCCCGACTTCCGTTCGTTCGTCACCCAACTCCATGTGACTCCTGGTGTTTAAGCCTGTTTTTCTCCCGCGCTGCTTTGCAACACGTCACCGGGTCCGATGTCCTTGGCGAGATATCATGGTTGGTTTCTGTCCTGCTGGGTCCGGAGGCCTTCAAGCAGGTGAAGATTTGTGACGCCCTTAGAATCGGCCAACGACCCGCCGCCTTTGAACCAATGAAGTGCGTTTCGATCGGAGGGTGTGTGATACCGACAACCGCACTTTTAGGAACCATCAGAGACGCTTGACAGGCCAACACCCTGCCCCCCAATCGGGATGATCCAGCGCTTTGCTCACTGAGGCTTGGACTCAGAGCCAGTCTCGACATTGTTACATATATATATATATTTAGACATTCGAAGCCGTCCTATCAGTGACCTCAAGAACACCTTAAGCCGTGACCCAGATCCAGACATCGGATGTGGATTTTCTCCAGGTTAGACCCATTTCCTTTTCCGATCTGTGGAAAAGGGGGCAGGATACCTTGGAGTGTCATGAGGTCCGCAACCCAACCCGAAATCGGGTCCAGTGATCCACGCTGAGGCCAAATTGCCGGCGGGGATGGTCACACAGCAGCTCAGACTTGAGAAGTAAACCAGCTTTGATCGTTTGGTGTAAAGAAGTGGATCGTTTGCGCTGAAACAAAAGCAGTATATACATGGTGTTTCAGCGCTGGGGTCATATGCACAGCATAATAGCATAGTCAACAAGCGGAAGTAGCAAGAAATTAAGATGAAACCAAGCAGGATTTGCTGGTTGTTCGCCATTCACCACTGCGGTGGCCACACCATGGGGGTGGGACAGAATCAAAATGAGCCACGCAGTGGATGTAGCTTTTCGGGCCCCAAGCTTGAAGTCGCGTCCGGTGCAGTTTAGTGATGAAGAGCCGGATATCTCTGCAAACAAGTTGTAGTTAAAAATACAATAGCACCTCACAACAGAGTGAACAAAGATCGGCCATGTGTGTCTTCGTATGGACGCTGTGAAGGCCACAAACTTGATTATATGCTAATAACATGCTACTGTATGACAAGATGGCTGCTTCAGAGTCCGGGCCAATATATGCTACCGGTGAAACCTAAGCCTTCTAAAACGATGTGATTGACCACGCCCACTCTGTTCCGAAAGCCCGAAGTCTAGCAAAGACCCCTGCATGTCTTCTAGACATGCTGTGTCACAGATGTCAACCGATCCCATCAACCCGCAGATCTGATCATATCATATCATATCCATTCTTTTTGCTCGGACTTCAGCCCGGGTTCACCAAGTGGTTTTTAAATGATGGGAATCAGATAGCCCTTCCTCCACTGGATCCCTCCACTCACCCAGCCGTCCAGACTCGACCCTGGAACTCCAAGGCGGCTGTGACGGTGCACGGGAAGCTCTACAGCTGGGGCGCCAGCGCCTGCGGCGCGGAGCCTCGGTCCGTAGTCCGGGAGGTCGGACTGATGTGGACGGGAAGATGTTGGAAGAGGTCGACAGGGAGTACCATCAGCTTGGTTAGATATAGCCATGTGATGTTGGAAGATGATTGATGTGGACAGGGCCGAGTAGGTGTATGGCCTACATCAATCTGGCAAAACATCCCAAGTTGGATTAATATTCCATGCAGGCATGGACATTGTTCAATGGTCTTCATCAGTTTGTCCCTTGCAGAGCGATAATCAGGATCTCCCAGGAAAAGTCCTAGGGTTGTTTTCACACGAGGCATCGCTGACAGACCAAAAGTATGAAGTTTGTTGGCACCTTAATTCTTCAACCAAGTTGTCTAGGATTGTCTAGGCCTCTCCTCCCCTTGAGAAAACAGACAAACATGTTGGGATGAAGTGTTTCTTTGACCCTTTTTTCTTATTCCGCTTTTGAAGCTGATCAAAGCAGCGCCCGGAAACTCAGCACACTGGAGTCAAAGTGCTTCCTCTTCAGGCCAACTTGGTCACTGTGCCGACCTCGGTCGTTCGCGTTGTGGCATTTTGTTCCGTGGCACTGCTGTGGTGTGTCATGCCTGAAGCTCAAGAAACAACGATTTGTAAGGGACCCAGCCGAGTGCCATCAGCGGACCCAGCCGAGTAGGAATGACACTCCAGCGGGAATGGCCAAAGAAATGTGGATGTGACCGCAGGAACTGTCTTTTTTTCCAAGCGACATGGAATTGGTTAAATCATGTTAAATCTAATCAATGGCATCCAGGGCCAGTATATAATATATATATATATACGTAACAGTGGTGGTGGATCAGGCTCAAGACATTGGGGTCTTTCGGATGCCAAGCCGATGCCAAGCCCATCCCATCCTGGTCACCGGCACCCAGGCGACACGGCTCACATGCCCAAGGATGTGGTGTCCCAAGCAAAAGCCGTCATGGCGAAAGCCGGCTTCACGTAGGATTGGACCTAATAACCTGAAGTTCGCAAGAATATGAAGTTCACAAGCTTGTAGACTACATTACCACTCCAACTGGGTAACGTCATTTGTTTGATGACTAGCCGTTTGCTGTTTTAATGTCCAATTTGAATCAAATCGATTGGTTTGATCCATTTGAGGTCGAAGGCTATCCATACCAACCTGTACCCCTCCTTGTGAGCAGCCTGCAGGACAGCGTTACCTGGCAAGGGTTCAGAGTCGAAAGCCAACCTGCCGTGGCCCAGACAGTCTTTGATGTTTTCCGGAACTTAGCCTCATGTACCTCAGATTTACACTAGGCTTATGCAGAAGCTATAAGCCCACCCCATCATGTTGTGTGAGAGTGTCGGTAGGGAAGCCATGTGAGTTTGTTTAGAAATGTTTGGAACATGGGGACGCTTAACCAATGCGTCTTTTTGTTGTCTTTTGTTTCTTCCTTTTTCCAGAGCTCAGTGCTCTCTCTTTTTTTGAGGAGGTGAACAAAACACATATACACATAAAATATCATAAGAACCGCACAGGCGCTGCACCATGCGGTGATGCCCACATCGCCTGGCCGGCGCCCACCATGCAGGACGTGTGCATCGTTCAGATCGCCTGTGGAGATGCCCACACCGTGGCACTCTCGCGGGAGGGCTTGCTCTACAGCCCGGACAGCCCAGCGGTGGCGCGGTGGTGCTGGGTGGCGCCAGCGCGGAGCGGGATGGTGGCTTCATGTGGTTTCAATCCTCATTGTTCATGTGGTTTCATGTGATGTTCAAACTTTGCTGAGGAGTTAAAGATGTCTTCAAAGCAAATCTACTCTAATCTCAACCTGTTTCTCACGTGCAGGCTTACACAGTAACGTCCCAGTTGGGGGACGTGAGTATGGAGAAAGCAAGTCCACTGTTCTGTTGAATGTTTGGGGGTGTGCATGAGGTTATGGGGTAGTGAGGGGTTCAAGCCATTTCGATCCGCAGCCATCAACCTCCACAACCAGCCACACCTATATGGGTTGTTGAATGAGTAGCCAAGGGTGTTTTTTCCTGGACGGGGAGAGCCAATCACAGGTGTTTCGAGGATAATCTATTGGATCAATATCTAAACTGTTTTCTGCTGAAAGCCCACTAGGTCCTGGCCCGTCTTGAAAACATATTTGATGTCTGAAAGCCTTGGGCTACGCCCCCTACTTATCCATTGGTTAGTTTGGAAGAACAAGTTCACCTGCGGACTGTCTTCTTGTTCTATGATGAATGGACGGTTCACCGTCCGTTCTGGCCCATCTCTGCTCCTTCCGACTGTGATGAGACGACTAAGTCTTGGACGATGGACTCCACCTCGCATGCATTTCGGGCCTGGGACGTTACATCCAACAGACGCTACTAGGGGCTCCTGGCATCGCTACTAGTAACAAGGGCCTTACTACGAGGAACAAGAAGCTATTAGAAACCATGTTCGCTACTAGGAACAAGTGCATCGCTTCTAGTAACAAGTGCCTTACTAGTAGTAACAAGAAGCTAGTAGAAACAATATATTTCGGGCCTGGGACGTGACATCCAACAGACGGCCTGGCCTGACCACGCCCCACCCATGGGTGTCGTGGTCTCTTTCAGCTTGTAAGCATCGTCCAGGCTGGGGTGGTGGTGGCTGTGGGCAATTGGGCCACTCAGAGACCTCGAAGATGTGGGGAGCCGAGAACGTGCTCGGTGTGGCCGAGGAGGAGAGTCTTTGGCACTCCCCATTTCCTAGCACGACGTCATGGGGGATTACATGGGGATTAGTGTAAGAGTTCAATTGACTTCATATATCATGTTCAGATTGTCATTTATATATATATTTATGTTACAATATAGATTCTTCATGTGCATTCACTTGTCATTAAGGATTTCGTTTCACTTATTTGTCAGCAACATGGTGTGTTTTCTAGTTCATCGACCCAAAGCTGGCCCCATTCCAAGCCGGAACAGGGGCCCCGGGGATGGCCCATTTTCATCACACGGATCGGCTAAGAGTCCTTCGATCCGAACATCACCACGTCCACAAAGGTCTTCGGTTCCCCTGGAGGTCCCAGCGATCACTGGATCATGATCCAAGATGTCACGAGATCGATCCGGTATGCGTTGTTTCGGTACACGGTCGCAAACCATGTGGTAGCAAACCAGTGTATTTGGTTTAGGACAATCATCAATTTATAAACCATGTTTGTTCTGGTCTGTCTTTCATCCATACGCACCGCGCACTGTTCGTCTTAAGATGGAAGTTTCTCCATTTCATTTCACACCCCAGCATTCCCCCAGCATTCGAAGGGACCTCCCAGAACGAACCCCCCCCAGGACGAGGAAGACCCTTCCTCCCGTTCGAACCGGTCGTTCCCAAGGCCCAAAGACGAGGACGGTTGTCCCTATCAGCTGACCCCTCGGGCTGGGAGACCCGGCACTCTCGCGCCGTCTCTCGTGTCGTGTCGGTGGGTCGCCTGGAATCGACCGAGTACGGAACGTGTTGGTTTTGGGTTGGGGGGGGCTGTGAACAGAGCGGAAGTCCTGGGATCCACTGAATCCACGTCTTGCTTGGTTTTGGCCAAGCTCATCAACCAGTAAATATGACTTCGGATTGGATGATTTGAGCCGAGAGTGATGTGATGTGTGTTTAGAGACTGGCTTCTTTGTTCCCCACCTGCCAGGTGAGGGTTGTTAGATTTTATGTTAGCTAACTTCTCCTTCTCCTCCTCCTCCTCCTTCTTCTTCTCCTCCTCGCCGGACCTCAACCACGACCATCCACGCCCAGTGTTCCCTGCCGGACCTCAACCACGACCATCCACGCCCAGTGTTCCCTGCCGGACCTCAACCACGACCATCCACGCCCAGTGTTCCCTGCCGGACCTCAACCACGACCATCCGCCCAGTGTTCCCTGCCGGACCTCAACTACAGCACACAACCACAAACACATAACCACAAACACACAACCACAAACACAGCCAGAAGCACACAATTACAAACACACAATGACAATCACAAACACAATCACAAACACACAACTACAAACACAACTACAAAGACACAATCGCAAACACATAACCACAAACACAACCACAAACACAACTAGAAACACACAACCAGAGACACACAGACAATCTCAAACACACAATCACAAACACAATCACAAGCACAAAACCACAAACATAACCGCAAACACACAACTACAAACACAACTACGAAGACACGATCACAAACACATAGCCACAAACACAACTAGAAACACACTACCAGAAACACACAATCACAAACACACAATCACACACACACAGTATCGCAAACACAATATCACAAACACACAGCCACAAACACACAACCACAAACACACAACCACAAACACACAACCACACACACACAACCACAGACACAATCACAAACACACAACCACAAACACGCAACCGCAAACACAACCACAAACACACAACCACAAACACTAACCACAAACACACAACCACAATCACGCAACCACAAACACACAACCACAAACACACAACAACAATCACAAACCACAAACACAACCACAAAAGCACAACCGCAACCACAACCACAAACACACAGCCACAAACACACAACCACAAACACATCCACAAACACACAATCACAAAGACACAACAACAACAGCAACAACCACAACCACAACTACAAACACAACCACTACCAGTACCACACACACAATCACAAACATAACCGCAAGCACACAACTACAAACACTAGAAACACACAACCAGAAACACACAATCACAAACACACAGTCACAAACACAATATCACAAACACACAACCACAAACATACAACCACAAACACAAAGCCACAAACACACAACCACAAACACACAACCACAAACACAATCACAAACGCACAACCACAAACACAACCACAGCCACAATCACAAACACACAATGACAAGCGCGCAACCACAAACACAACCACAGCCTCGACGACAAAGACGCAACCACAAGCACAACCACAAACGCAATCACAAACGCAACCACAAACACACAACCACAAACACACAGCCACTACCACTACCACTACTACTAACAAATAGTAATAAATAGTAATACTACTACTTGGGCCACCCAGTACGACTACTACTGAAATGATCTGAGTTGTATTATTAGTTGGGCCCAGGTCTCCTGATGAAAGCATTCGCTTCGGACAGAACAGTAAGACTTGGCGCTGAAGGACTTGTGCTATGGGCTGAAATACACAACAAGGTTGACACGTGGTTGTTTTGAAATGCCACGGTGGGGATCACTCGAAGTAAAGTATTTTTTTCCTCAGTGTTGGTGGTACTTCGTAAATGCAGATGGGGTCCAAGATGATCGGAGAGGAAAGATGTTCTCTTCAGTTTCATTGAGATGAATGCAGTTGAGCGTGCTTGCATGTGATGCTGTGAACACAGAACCGCACCAGATGAAACTCAACTGTTGTCCCAGTTCTCAAAGCCACCCTCACTGGTAGCATTGTTTCGTTTGAAGCGTTAAACTCCTGCAAGTTTGGGCGGCTTCAAGGTATATAGAGAAGAACAAACTATATGAACTTTGGCAATCGCGCAGACTTGGTGTGATGAAAAGTGACTTGCATGAATGGATTACAAGGAATCAGTTGATCTAGATTCATCCAAACACTTCGCTTCCTGAGCCCTACTGAACCCTACTCTTGATGTGCTCAACCGCATCGGTACGAGAAAGACGGGTCAGAGTACCACTTGCAAGTGTGTGATACCATCTACATTGTCCACCACTTTTCATGTTCTATTTTGTTCACTCTCCTTCATGTTTTCCTGTGCCCCAACTAGGGCACGCTACTCCCAATCTTTGTTGAGTGTATTCGCAAAATCACTTTTGTTTGACCTCGATCTTGTTGGGTTGTCCCAAATCCTAAGACACACGGACAAGCATTCCAACGAGCATTCCCAGGTCGTGGAGCACTTGCGGCCGCATGTGGTCTCCTCGGTGGCGTGTGGAAAGGCCGGGCGAGCCCGGCCGCCTCGCCGGACAGCCGGACGCGGTCCAAAGGGATGAATCAAAGGATCAGCAGATCCAAACGGACGGCTAAAGCGGCTGGGAGGTCTGGGATGTGGTTGGAAAGGAATCAGAAAGAATCAACTGTTTGTGTTGATGTTCTAGCATGAGTGGACAACATTGAAATCCTCCCCACGCACACAAGTGTTAAGCCTGTTAAGCTGCCTGTTGATGGCAGGCAGCCAAGCTGACACAAAGAACAATGACCATCAAAAACGATCACGACAAGCAACCAAGCAAACAAACATGACAAACATCGATGCGCCGGCCCCAACCTTCTTTTCCCCTGGGGTTTTGTAGCTCCTGTTTTTGTGTTCAAAAGGGATCAAACGGGTCTTCTGTGATTTCTAAGTGTGTTTTTGTTAAATGTGTGTTTGACACTTAGAATCCATTTTTTTGGAGGCTAAACGAAAGATAAATCAAGTTATGACGGTTAAGTTATGTTGTTCTTGCCCAGCTAACATCAGACATTGCCAGGCCAAGGCCAAGGCCTCACAAATGAGAACTGAACGAGGCACACTTACTTCAACTTGAACGAGGCCTCGAGGTCCCTCAATTGGGAGGGTTTCAGATTCATCAAACCCGGGTGATCGTAGAACCTCGCTGGGCCCCATCGAGTCGTTGCCCCGTTGCGGCACTCCCAAGCGGCCAGGCGCACACCATTGCGGTCTCCCAGCGGGGGCGGATGTTCACCTGGGGCCGGGGGACTCGGGGGGACTGGGGAACTGGGGCAACTCCCAGGCACTTGGCGGTCTCTTAGAGAGCTTCCAAAAATCATGTTATATCTGTTATATATATAATTCATTGGTCAACCAGTCGACTTCTTTTTTGTTCCCTTTGAACAGCCTGGTGTGAGGAAAAGGGCCAGTTTGGAAGCCTGTTGCTCTATTTCTTTTGGGAGGGGTGAGAACTACAGCCACCCTGAAATTGGTCCATTGCATTCCATCACTGTCCCCTCTTGAGTCTGAGACTTGAGAGTCCGTCCTCCACATGGCTCGCTCAAGCGTCGTGGCGTGTCGGGTTCAAGGAGCTGGCGCGTGCGGGCAGCTTGGTCATCCAGACACAAGTGAGCTCCTCAGATGTTCAGATTCTTGCTTGTCATGGTGCAGATGTGAACAACCCCATCATTTGTCTCATCCGGCAGAGGAGAGTTTGGACAGGTCCAGCTACGGCCACTGAAGCAAAACATATGATCGTCGTTGCACACAGATTGAGTTCAAATGCTCCAAAGTAATCTTGCAAGTGGGATTCTGACATGCTATGATATGATGCATATTGCGAATGCCCAGGCCCAAGAATGGTTTGGCTGCTTTTTTGTTCACATGGCGGTTTCCTCCCTATCAATTTATGTGGTGCCAGGTTATTGCCGTAGACTCACAACATGATACACCGAACTTGGTAGGTCTGGTCTGATGGGTAAAGATTTCCAGCTCCTTGACTTCACAATGGCGCAATCGACTTGCAAGGCAGCTTCCCATCCGACGAAGATGGCTACCCCTTCCAGCCTGCTGCTACTTCTGCATTTGGATGTCGCTGTCACGTGCAGAGAAGACTCCAAGAAAAGCTGTGGGGACTTGGAAGTTCTGTGTTCGCTGCTCTCGAACGCACTAGTAGGCAGTCTGTCAGATACTTCATGTCGTTTCCTTCAAGCGGGTGGATTAGATTCCTTCTACTGATGGATTATGATGGATTCCTTGCTTGCACAGTTTGTTGACAGACAGGCAGACCAGAGGTCCAGGCCGCCTAATTTGGGGTTCATACTCCTCCAGTTTATCCACACAATACTTCCCCAGGTCCAGATCATCCGATTCAGATCCGGCAGATCCGTCCATCAGATCCGGCAGATTGAATCGGCAGATGAGCACGAGCAGGGATCGGCAGATCTGACCATGCGATGTACATCAAACCTCACGGCCACGTTCGGCTGTTTTGCACACTGACGGAAAGAGGGAGGTTGGACCACTCCTTTTTGGAGTCCGACCAGGTCTGGTGTCCGGGGCCCGCGGATCTGAGGTTCCCAGAGAAGTGGACCATCTCAAGGATTTCAAGGACGGGGGCGGAATGAAACGACGGTGGAAGCCCACCGGCCGACAGTGGCCAGCGGGGAAACGGCGGAGATGCGAGGACGAGCGAATTGTCTCCTGGGTGTGATCTTCCTTGGTCTTCACCATAGAACTCTACACTACAGGACTGTGGGTCAAAATGAAGGATCTGCGAAACACAGGATATGGTCGATTTCCTCAGTACAAGGTGGTCAAGTGGTAGCAATTGAGGGCGACTGACTCCCATACGAGGACGATGATGCCAACTGCTGTAGAATTGTAGAGTTGAGCAAAACGCATGGGATGGAACTGACGGAACCTGCCTCCACTTACTGTTAGTCTTCCACTTCCATCTCAAGTGTTTGGTAAATTTCTGGCAACCAAACCAGTGTGGATCGATTGATCATCAACAGCTTTAGCCTTGGTTGTGAGAGTAGGATGACGTTGGCAGGTTCTTGATGCCTTCATGAAGCTTCAAGAAGCTGTCAGATAAACTAGTCATACAAGACACATATGATGAGTCAATGATACCGAAACGGAGAGAACTATACGATATCCGCGATTGTATTAGGCTATCATGTTGGGAAGTTTTGCAGATAGATCAAGTACAAGGCTGCTCGTTGGGCTGTATGATTATCATGCCATTTCGCACATGTCGCTCAGAGAACCTGGACCATCCGCCTCCTCCTTTCTCGTGGCCAGGTGATTGCAACGGCTTGCGGGGATGTCAGAGCCTTAGTTAACTCGAGTTTTGGGGCTGTGAGCCGTTTCGCATCGTGTGGCAAAGTATGGAAATAACTTCACAATCCAGAGTGACTGCAAGCAACAACCAAAGCAAGTACAACAAGACAACATTCAAAAGATCTGTTGTTTGGTGGAGAAAAATCACTACCAGAGTGACTACTCAACGCCCTCTTGCACCGGTTAGGTGCACACCTTGGCTTTGACGGATGATGGCTATGTCTACTCCTTTGGAGGTGGTTCCTATGGCCAGCTCGGGGTCAAGGACCGAACCAAGAGAGTCCAACTGGGCCAAGAGAAGGAAAACAACACCCTATAGGATGAAACATGAACCATTGATTGAACACGATTCAATGCTTTTTTCATGTGTTTGCCGAGCTTAAGGTTTTGTTTTTAACATTACAAGTATGTTGGTCAATTTGTCTCTGTGGTTTGGGAAAGCTAGAGGGTTTGTGGCCACCAGAAAATCTGAGGGGGCTTGGTCCGCAGGTACACAGGCAGCCGAGTGGAAAGGGAAGAACGGAAGAATGAGTCAAAACCTGTCGTGCGTCTCGACGGGGGGAAAAAGCAGGAGAGTAACTTGTTACAATGCAAAGGGGACATATGGGGACATCCCAAAGGATCCCAAAGAAATATTACTCCGAAGTGCTAAAGTCGTTGCGATTTTACTTTTTTGCCTTCACTCCATTGTGACTTGCGCTTTTGTTATTTCTGTTTAACGCTTGTATACGCTTGTGAGAGGACTTTCGCGTTTGGGTCTGGGTGTACATCAGCTACGAAGGGGAGGTATTGAGCCACCTCCAAGACCGGTGAACAAGATCGGCCTCAAAGCGGGTCTATAGTTGGTCATACCATCGAGGGTAAAGCAATGTCAATGTCAAATTATTGTCAAGCAATAACTCTTTGAACTGTGAAGACCAGAGTGACAAGGGGACACCCACGTGATCTAAGAGCAAAAGCATACCATGTTGTATGTTCAGCACATATTGGATGTTTCCTCCGGTTGCCTGGGTTCCTTTGATACATCATGATACATTGATGTCTATTTATATATATATGATATGTATAACATCTTCCAATCCAATTTTGGTCTTCCTAAAGAGTCAGTGGATTACTTGAACTGATCCGGAGCAGTTTTGAACAATCTGCGGAATGTGTTCCTATTCCCAAAGAATTGCGGTTCATTGTCAATCAGACCAAACCCGTGTCACCTGTGTCGGTTTGCGCGGAAGGATGTCCTTGCGATGCCTGTTGATGCTGATAATTGCACCTTGGACAAAAAGAGCAACGCCTTGTCATCTTTGGAGCTCCCTGCTGAGAAGCACCATTTTGTACTTGACCGTGGCCGTTGTGACTTGTGTCCACTAGTGATTTGCGTGTCCGGTGCAAAAAAAACCGAGGGCGCATGTCTAGGCAGGTCGCAGGGGGGAGGCGGTTGCAAGAAGATCAAGAAGGCTCTTAAACCCAGCGAATCCAGTTATCACTACAGTAGGTAACCAGCAGTGCCAAAGACTTACACCACCACCTAGAACTGTGGTTTCTTATATAGTGGTAACTGGAATCCACTGGGCAAGATTTGCTTCTCCCAAAAGGCTGGAGCGAGCTTTGCTCATCCATTGATTCCATGTGTATAAATATATATATATATACATGGATACATCGGAGATGGCGATATGCACATTGGAGGTGTAGAGACCTTGAAGCAGAGACCTTGAAGGTCAGTTTTTCTTTTTTTCCCTCTTGTTGAGTGGACCTTGAGCTGGTCTATCAACGAATATCAAAGATATCAATCCTGTTTATGTCCTGTTTTCCTTGTTTCTCATCACTCAAATCATCAACCTGCAAACATGTTTCCAGCACTCGGAATGTGAAGTGCATGCCGGGTTCCCACTGCTGAGGCCCTTACATGCCAACCCCACAGTTGGTCTTTGGGTTGGAGGGCATCGTTCGCCTGGCTTGCGGCGATTCGCCCGGCGGCCTGAGCTGACTGCGAAGAGGATTGGTCTGAGATGACTCCTACAGATGACCTGAACCCAGAGTTGGGCTCGACATTGCAGTCAGGTCATTTGATGAGAAGGGCTGAGAAGGGTTCTCCAGGATATTCCGTGAACTTCAGGATGTTGGGCTTTTAGCATGATCTGCTCAGGTTGCTGTGTCAGAGGATCATGACATGAGGCTGACAGGCTGACATCCGCGCTGACAGGATTTGCCACAGTGTGTTGATTTTATCGAACAAAGCTGATCATAAATGTTCCCTGGTCTGGGGCCACCCAACTTCCACTAGACTACATCCAGGTCAAACCTGTGAGTAGTGGCTGGCTTCAGGAATCATTTCTTGTAATATTGTACTGGTTTACTTATCAATACTTACTGTATGTGCATCATGTTTTGTTGATTCGCATTGTTAACATAAGATGGTCAAAGGAACATTCTGCCGCTGAACAATGATCTTGACACAACGAGACATGTCCCTTGTGGATATGCGTTTGGCCTTCGACATGTATGCCGCTGTTTCCAGCAGACATCTAGTGAAACCTTGTTGAAGACGCAGTTGGCCTGGCCTAGCTCATATGATATGCCTAGAACCTAGCTCATATACAGTATATATGTAATATCAACATATGGTCCTACTCAAAAAAAAAAGTCAATTGGGTTCTAGGTGTTTATATGGGTGAAAGCTGCTTTCCGCTGAAAGCCAGATTCACTTTTCTCCAACAAAGACGTCGCCCTACAAAGTCGCCAAAGCGTTGACTGAGGCACTCCTTGACGATTGACCGGGACGGGCGCCTCTATTGCGACTGGGCGGTATAGTTGTTTTCTAAGGCGATGCCACATACCCTGACCAAGTAGGACTTTTCAAGGAAACTCATCCTGGGTTTTCTTTGGTTGACCCGTGTTTAACCTTTCAACGTAGATCGAAGCACACTTTGTCCAATTGCTTTTGTTATACAGTTATACCACCTCCTAACAGCCGCCCAGTGCGTGCGTTTCAAAGACGTGGACACATGGTTCGTTCGGCGGATGCGGATGGATGTATGGAGTAACGGGTGGGTCAGAAAACCAAAAAGAACATGAGAATTCACCGTGAAACACCGGTGTTTCTGGTGATGTTCACTTGCAAATTGTTTTCAAAGACCGGAGCAAAGTGCATTGCATAATGACGCGTAATGCATAGGTTGATATGACAGAACTCATTTTGAAGAAAGAACACAAAACACGATCTGGAAACCACAACGGCTCATGGCCATGGCTCGATCCATTGGTAACGCACGTGTACATTGTACATACCTGGTAATTGTGCGACTCCATGCATGCAGAACCTATATAACAGAATCCATTCATGATGGCGCAGCCAATTGAAACTCCCGGCGCACCGGCTCATAAATCTTCCGAATGGACGTCTCATTGAGTGCAGTGGAGGGAAGGTGAAACAGCTTTTGTCTCATGTTGTGACAACAGTGAGAAGCTCGCAGGATTTGTTACAATCGCTTGAAATGTCTCAGCCAAACCAGATGGAAGTGCAACATGTCCTGCGAATCACCAGAGGGCCCAAGGGGGTTCGCCCTCGAAAAAAAGATTTGAAAATGACCGGCAAGGTACTTCCTCTAGAATCAACTAAGATTTGCTGTACTCCTCTGAAAGGGGAACCGAACGCCACGACACCGCCAAGGTTGGGGAGCCAACTCCTGTGGCCAGCCAGGGACCCCGGGGACTGGTGGGGACCAGGAAGAGACGCGTGGCTAGGTGGAGGCGGAGTCGAAGCAAGGTCAGCTGTGGAGAGTATTGGCATGTATTGGCCTATTTAGCTTATGTGAAGTCTACTTAGGTCCATTAATTAAGTTTGAGAGGAAATGAACGGACACATGGTCGGAAACATATTTAATATGATATACTGGCATATAATATGATGCGCGCTTCTCCGCAGTTGAATGTACGGAATTGGTCAAACTTTTGATGGTCTTTTCTGGCGGATTGCCAGTGGATCAACGTCGGAGTTGAATGTTTGGGGGGGGTGTCAGATGGGTAATTAAGGTTTGAACATAAAGAACACGTGCCATGGTATTAGTCGGTTGCTAAGTTCCTATATTGTTGCCGTTTACTGTACATGTTTTGCCACCGTGGGTATATTATAAGCTGCTGGGTTTGAGTGAAGCCATGGTGGTCCAAAAATTAGCAAACACTGCACGTAGAGTGCAGGGAGCTCTGAAGAGGCACCAGTTTCCACATGTTTCCACCCTGTATAGTTTTTTTTTGGCTGGGGGCTGGAGGTAGGCCGAAAAGAGGTAGCTAGTAGAGATTAGCTAGCTAGTACTGTACTTGAGCTACTAGTAACGGGACGCAGGATAGCTCACGCTTCTTCAAGGAAGCTCTCCCCACCGCCCTAAAGGAGGGGGGAAGCTTCCTTGAAGAAGCGCAGGCACTAATGATTTGGTTCCTACAGTGTTTTAGGGAAGCTTAACTAGGAGGAGCGTGCAAACAGAAGTAATTTGAAGCATTTTGAAGCTTCACTTGACCTCAACAACCATTGCTTTGTTTGTAGGACACGCATGGTGCTGGGCCTCTGCTAGTTTCATCGGGATTTCATAGCGTTTGCTCGGCCACCGATGGACACCAAAACAGATACAGTCCACCCAATCCTTTGTATCTTCCCAGACCATCCACGAATGGAATAGTTACATCCATTTCATTTACCCTATTCCTAGCCCTAATGGAAGCTACTAGTCCAGTCCCAGTCATAATCTGGGATACAGTGTTGGTAGATTTCATGCTGCTCTTGTATTAATGGATAGATTAACGTGATTCATGATATTTCATTGAATCTTATTGAATACGTTCTTTATTGATTGATCGATTTTACCAGGACATTGACAGAGATTCATATTTTATTTGATCGATCAATTGTTTATGGATCAGTCGATTATGTGACACATCGTTTTGGAGTATATGTATAGTATAGTGTATGGTGTGTATATGTACAGGTTACGGTTTGTACAGTATGTATGGCGCATATATTAACCATCCAATCCACCGTCACCCTCTCTTCTCGTGGCTTAGGCTCGGGATCATGAATCCCGATGACCCCCGAATACGGAAGGATCCCGACGGGATCCCGTTCGGGGCCCCTGGGTCACCGGCCGGGGGGGGTCGCCGGTCGCGTTCTGTTTGGTGGTTTTTGTTCCCAACGCGGTGGATGGGAAGGATGAGGAGTTGGAGCAAATCCATGGTTTGGGTCCGAATGATTCGGAAAGGGCTCCGGAGGCGAAACCCTCGCCTGACCATCCACAAGAGGCCCTTTTTCTGGGCAAAGAAAATGTCCATCACTCCTATGCCCTATGCCAACCCAATTGCTCGGTCAAAATGCCAGTCTCACGAAGTGGTTGGACACAGAGGAATGGACGCGGAGGAGATCATTTCATCTCCAGACAAACACCTGGTGATTGCCAAGCTCGGGCAAGCTAGAGAGCGTCCAACAAAAAGCACGAGGGCTTCCTTCCAGCACGTTTTAAGGAGTGAGGATATATGGTCGGAGTCATGGTTGGGTGATATTCCTTGGTCTAGAGTCTAGTAGTGGCCAGCCATATGCATATTCTTTCGCCGCTCAGAGCACAAGTTCACTTGGGCAAAGCAACGCTTTCATCGGCCCCCCAACAAAGCCAAGACATGGATCCCCAACTATCTGTCAAAACATGGATCATGAACTTAGTTGGTTCAGCACTCGCGTTGCGGCACTCGTACCTGCGCGTGCTGGCACTCAGAAGTTGCGTTGCAGCACTCTGTTTTGTAGGGACACCCCAATGCGATTATTTGCGTTGAACAAATGCATTTGGGAATTGGTTTTGGGTAGTAGAGTGCCAGAAGTAAAGTCTGAGCGAGCAGCCATGTCGGCCCTATCACCGGAACAGGTTCTGTTGCTGCGCCATGCAGGCCACTCTGTTGGGGAGGAGTGGCGGCATGTGAAATTTCCTGCTCGGGGCGTGAGCGAGCAACAGAGCAAGCTTGTGAAGGCATGGTTCCTGTATGTGCAGAGTGGCAACTCCAAGCCATTTTGGGTTTGTTCGAAGTGCCCTTGGCAGAACTCCATGAGAGGCTTGACCCGCCCATTGGAACACATGTGCTTTAAAGGAATTTCGCTGAAAGAGAGCTCGTACATCGAATTGCACAAGCTCAAGAAGACGTCGGACATTCCCCTACCCTACAGGGAATGGCTGGTTGCTTACAAGAAGCAGGGAAACAAAACGTCTGGTTGCAAGGAAGCAGCGACCAAAGACCAGATCCTCAATTGGGCTGCTTTGGGTATTCCTGCAGCTGTGCAGTGGGCCATTTTCAACCATTGGGTGCCAATAGATTACAAGCCATGTGGAGTTGAACGACCAGAAGAGCGGGTGCCAATCTCCAATGAGGAGGCCACTCGCAGACAGGTTGTAGCCTTTGTTTGCTCAGGTGTCGCCATGAATGCCGGCAATGGGTCACACTGGGAGAACTTTTTGCGTTACATAGCTCCTGATGTGAATCACCCAGGCAGGACCTTTTGCAATCATGCCTCGGTGTTCCAAATGCGGTTTTTCAACTTGAAAGAATGCATTTGGGTTGCTTGCTCCAAGTTCATCCTTCCATATCCTCAATGCGTTTTTTCAACCTCAGAAAGCACTGTGGATTTTTTTGTCTGATTTCACCCTTCTATGTCCCAAATGCGTTTTTTGAACTGGTTGCATTGCATCGGAGTGAGCGCCCGCAGGCCGAAAGAAGCTCGACTCTGCCTTGTGCTCGCTACATGAAGAATTGGAGGAAAAGATCGCAGCGCGACTGCAGGACCCAGCACATGGTCCTTGGTTTCTATCTTCTGATGGTGCCACGAACCGAGGGGATGCATTGGTGACAGTCGATGCTACCAATGCTCGGGGCGAGTGCTGGCATATTTGCTTGGCTGATTGTGGTAGCCACAAGCAAGACGCAGTGTATTTGAAGGACAGGGCATGTGAATTTGCATCGGGTAAACCACGCATGTGAGTTCGTTTTGCACACTCATTCCTGTTTGAGGAGATTCTTCGAAGACAGGTCGCTTGAAAGTCAAGACAATTGCACACTCATTCCTGTCGAAGACAGCAGCTTTGATGGGCAACTTTGTTGGTTGAAGTTGGTAAGGGTCCGAATGCATTTGTTCATCTTCAAAGAAGGCAAGACACTCCTATCTCCTAAATGTGTTTTGTGGGGAGCTCACCCTTCTATGTCCCATATGCGTTTCTTCAACCTCAAAAAACGCATTGGGGACCCAAGCCATGGTATAGGTTGCAAGTGGGGTTTTCGGCCAATCCCTAGCACCAATGCATCCCAAGCAAGAAAACAATTGCATCGGGGAAGGCAGGGGGACTCAAAACCACACAAACATTGGAGCGTTGCGGGGCCAGCGTGCTGGCACTCAGCGTTGCGCGTTTTGCGTGCTGGGACGACTAAGATCATGAATGATCATAATCTATTTAAAAAACAAACATCGATCCGATCTGTCAAAATGAACGAACTCAGCAAAACACCAGCATCGACTCGGAACGAAGCTCCACGACCGACAATCGCCACCACGACCGAGCGTCGCGTCGCGTCGATGTGAATTAGAGGTGGTCCCTCTGACCCGTTTTGATATGTGTGTTTTATGTGGTGTGTTGTGTTTGACTGATCGCCATACCGGGAACCTTAAGGCAAAATCTAATGCAGTAACACATCAGTTCTCACTGAACCTCCACTGAATCTTGCTGTTGCGAGATATCTAAGTGTTGTGCGCGTTTGTGGGGTGGGTTGGAGAGTTTTTGTGCTGTTGCTGTTGCTGATGTTGCTTTTGAAAGTTATGATGTTTGCAATGGATTTCTCCGCAGAAATGAAGTCCAAGGCACTTGCCTACACCTGCCATTGTGGAAGCTCTCGCAGACCAGAGGACAGAGATGGGCTTTCTAGGATGTAGCCAGAAGTTTGCTTGCTGCAACAAATCCCAGTTCTTGACAGCTGCATAAACCCACTAGCGTAATGTCGGAGGGTTTCTTTGCCTGCTTTTTTGGCAACAGCCATTACCCAACCCATCAGTCCGCTACGCTTTGATATCTCACCTGGATCAAGAGTTGTTTAAACCAAGTCTTTTAGTACGCTTTCTGTACCCCAGAAATGGAAAAAACACATGTCTAAGTCTGCTCATGTTTGCCCTGAAAGAGTGTTGGATCTTGGTTGTGTGTCCAATCAGGGTCATCGCTTTCCGCCCCGTCTCCGCTTTCCGCCCTCCTGCAGGATTGTTGACATTGCTTGTGGGGAGGTCAGCAGCCGGGATGGTCATTTGATGTGCCGCAACACCAATGCCTCAAACATCAACAAACAGAACGAATGCAGCCAGTGAGTTTCATCCAATTTTCCACGGCCCTCGATCCTCAGGATCGAACATGACGGCTATATAATTGGTCCAATGGCCTCGACTGTTTGTTGGTCAACACGGTTGCCACGGGTTGCCCAGCCCAGTGTCTTGTTTCGATGTGACCGGCATTTTTGGTCGTGCGGCAGCGGCATAAATACTGATCTTGGGTGGTCAAACGACGTTCCAGATAGTTTCATTGCTGGAACCATTTGGAACTCATAAGCAAGACAAAAGAGAGCATGCATGAGCATGCAATGTTCCTCGAATTGATTATATAATGTAGCCAGGTTCTCACCAGTGTGTTCTGTTGTGGCTGTTCACCAGAAACAGCGGGGTGGGTCAGTTTAGACCCACATCTATGTGAGTTTGTCCTATAGTCTATCAAGATCAGCAAACTCTTGAATTCTCTTTAGTGGCATGGTGTGTGTTGAGATAGGGTCCCCAAAGACCTCACCGAAGAAGGAAAACATCCAAAACCCAGTGGTTAGGACCACTGGTTGGGAGATTTCCCTATTGAAATACACACAGCTCACGGCTTTTCGAGAGATGTAGAGGCTGGTGATGGAGGTTTTAGGAGAACATATACGTATACATAAGTCATGTTCCTACTTCAGTCGAGTCAAGGCATCAGCCATGCCTGGATCAACTGACTACATACTACAGTCAATATAGCTTCTAGCAGTGAGTTACTTTTGTGGGGAGAATGGTGCAGAAAGACCGTCACCTTCGGAAGCACTTTCGAAGAGCCACCGGTCAGGCGCACTCCCTGGCAGTGTCGGCCACTGGAAACCTGTACAGCCGGCCACCCTGGAAGGGTTCAAGGATAGGCTCAACTTGCAGACCTGACGAAAGTGGTTGTTGCATGGCTGTATATGTTTTTTGTTTGGTTGTACGGCTGTATATTGCATTGCTAATTACAATAATTACAACAGTACTTATAACATGTTGATGTTACAATTGTAAGTGTTGTTGTTCCTGAAGTTCCTGAACCTTCCTGAAGGGATTCCTTCGAGACAGAAGAACATCGGTGTCAGAAACAACATTGCTAGAAAGCCTCAAAAAGTGCTGCAAACCCTAAAAGACACTCACAGGATTTTAGGGAGCCCTGTCTTCCCAGGCCATAGGAACCCAAAGAGCACACAACAAAAATAATTACACGCATACAGCATACAGTATGTCCTTCCTGGCTGCTTATATCAAACCAGGTAAACAAGGACTCCCCCTCGAAAACTGTTGCCTCTCTTAGGTCGTTTGAAGACTAATGCTGCTAGCCTCATGCCAAATTGTCCTCTCTCCATGAGCTGCTGAACCTTCGACAATTTCTTCACACGCACTGCTGCAAGCAAATGCACACTAATATGAGTATCCCTCCACTTTTTAAATGCGCGCCCATTTTGCGGAAATTTGCGCGCAAAGTAAAGTGCGAGTGTCAATTTGGGGATGCCGCGATCGAAAAAAGAACCCGTACCTTTGGGGGATACCTTTGGGGGATGAAGTGTCTTTTTTCCTTCCTGGCAACTCTGGCCAACTTGATTGGCTGCGGTGGTGGTTCGCCATGTGCTTCAATCTGCTTTACCTCCGTCAAACTGAAGGCCACATGCATGTTCTGCGGTCACACACTGTAGGCCTGATGGATCAGAACCTTCGCCTGTCAAGGGAATTGAGGAATCCCTGGGTTCAAAGGACATACCACAAAAAGACTAACCCAAGTTAGTCCAACATGTAGCTCAAAAAGCGCTTGAAGCTCCTTAAAAACACTCATTTCATCGAAACTTGTTACAAACGACCTGTTCGCTACAAAATTGTTCTACAAATGACGCGCGGGGTCGTCATTGCAATTTAGATGTGAGAATTGTAGTAGCTGTCGTGGTAATTGTAATTGGTGTTGTTGTACTTGCAATTGTAAATTGTAAATGTTGTTGTTGTAATTGTAATTGTGATTGTTGTTGTAGTATTGTAAGCAGCCGGTGCATTGCTCCTCTGATTTCATTTGCATGTTCCTTCTTTTATATCCCCCAACGCATGGGCTACTCCCATCCTGCTCACCATGGAACGCCCAAAGATCTCCAATATCCAGACATAGCATGCCACTCCTTGCTCCATAGCATGCCAGTCTGCTGAACACAGTCGGGTCGTCCAATCAATCAAGCAAGCAAGCAAGCAAGCAAGCAGTCGACGAACTAAGCAACTAGTATTAATGAATCAATCGATCAACCCACCCACCAAACAAGCAAACAGGATCATACCCAACGTGGCTAGGCCCGATTTGTTTGGCCCAACCACCCAGGTTGGGGTGCTTGCTCTTGTGGTCAGCTGGGCCTGGGCAGTGTGGGGCCCAGAAACATAGTGGTGGGTTTCACCATACATCATTCATGTTCATATTTATACATGATGTATGTTGATTTGAGGTCAACATGTTTGATCATTCTTGCACCACATGTTCTAAGTGGTTTTGTAAACATCCAGAAAGGATCTCATGTGTCTCATAATGGGAGTAGTGCCCTCCGTGAATCAGCGGCAAAACCGAAGGGTCAAACCGTGCCCTCCGCCTTCAACGGTGAAGGACTGGACTGGAAGAAGCGGCCGGTGGGCGGTGTCTTCTTCCAGCTTTGTCTGGAGTTGTTAACCCAACAAAGCAAAAACAACATACTGCAAGGGAGATGGAACTCCAATGATTCATTAATGATGATTCATGGGTGCAACAACTCTGGCGGTTGAACTCAGTTCACACATTCGTCCACAATCTTGCTGTGTTTGGGTGAATCGACTTGTGCTGAGATGAACCAAGTCATCAGTTTTTGGTGTCGTTACATGCACCCACGACCGATCTTGTTCATGACCTTTTGCTTCACTGGCACGTGAAGAAGGTCAAACAGATCATAAATCATAGTAATTATCCGCATCAATAGCATAATATACTATTTGCCACATCACATACCCCGCTCACTGTGTGTTGGTTCAATAGGATTTGTGCAAAAATGTGACGCAAAAGGCTACACAAGGTTTTCCTCCCTAATTGACCATGACCACATGTTTGGCATAGCCCGAACCGGAATTGCTTCCAACTAGGACGTTCATTGACATTCCATGTTTCGGCCAAGATCCTTGCGTCCAATCCAGACATTTCCAGACACCCCCATGGCCGACACTCCATGTATGCCATATTTGCCTACATTGGGATGGTTTTGGAGGTCAATGTAGGCATATATGGCATACATGGAGTGTCTGGCCATGAGTTCTTTCTTTCAATTGCGAGTCTCGTCACCGACTGGTCGTTCTCCCGCAGCCACGACCGGTGCGCTACCGATCGATTCACACGATCAGTCTCACCGGTGCTCCATGAACGACGCCGCCGGGCCGCCGAAGACGTCCGCGAATTTCGTGGCGCTGACGCCGCTCTACTTCTTGGAGCGCGCTGCGGAGGTGTTCCCTGACAGGCGCGGCGCCTTCTCCGCGCGCGAAGGGAGCGGAGAAAATTCAGCGCCCCAAAACAGGTAAACTGGAAAGGTGGCCATTTTTCGATGGAGATCGAGAGATGTCCGGAAGATGGCATGGGACGTTCGAGATGGCCCTTTCGGAGTCCAACGGACCTATATTTTACGGTCTTTAGATGTCTTTATAGGTGACTTCTGGTGAGCCTCGTCCGTCGCTTCGGATCCCAAACATCGTCTGTCCAGGACCGCACTCGAGTGGGATGCAAGAGATGAGTCAAATCACGTTTCACAGGAACGCGTGATCAAGTGAGGTCGATCCTTCAAAATGGACGAATAATGCCATCCGCCAGGACCTTCAAAGTGACCTCGTTGGAGACTCTAAGTGACCTTTATAAGCCTAAGTGATCTCATTCTGGGATCCCAAAAGGTTGTCCTGACTGGTGTCCGGGGTCTAGTCGACTAGGGACTCCTCATGCATCGACGTTCCCCTATCAACCGTTTTTACTTATAAGCACTTGTACCCTTGGCCGTTGCCCTATTTCGCCTATATGTGGACTGTAGAGTTTGGAGGGTTCATGGGGGTTCAAGGGCCGAGGAGACAAGCAGCCTCGTGCTGCTCTTCTTCGCCGCGTGGTTTCCAACGACGCCGTAGCAACGCGGTCTCGGTCGCCGCGCCAGGCTGGCGATCATTCATGGACCTGTGAGGACGAAGCGAGGGGGTTCTGGGACGGTTCTGGGCGCCAAAAGCGGTTTCATGAGGCCAGTTGTTTTGGGGGTGAATAGAGGAGGAGTGGTGATCACCCGATTTGAGAGATGTTTTTTGGTTGACATCGTTGTTGAGTTGTAGACAGACAGGCGGGATGATGAACATTGTGGTCTTTCATGGCTGGACATGGATCCCAGTTTTACCGATTCTGGTCCAGTCCGGGATCAAGTTCGCGTTGTTTCCTACTGTAGAATCATGGCTGTTTGATGCTGACTGATTTGTAATATAACCTGGAACCCCCAACAACCAGAAAGAAATTGATGTTTCCCCAAACAACCATATCCTACGTAAAGGATTTCAATTGCCATATTGGAACAACCATTTGTTTCTGGTTGTTTTGGGTTCCAGGAAGTAACATTGATCGTACCAGTGGTATAGGTTGGTGCGAACCCTGGTCAGAGTGTGCTTCAACGTGAGTGTTGATGGGGATGTGGTGGGCATGAAGGATAAGTACATGTAATAGAGAGACTTAGGGGATGCGTGGAAAGTTCAAACAAAGGGGTTCAGGATTCTTAGCCAGCTATCTCCTCACAAGTCAAGTTCAGACGGTAGAACCTCCAAGCCTAAACAGAGCAATTCCGTCACCCCCATGGGTGCAATTCCGTCCGGGCACGTCTCAGAATTTCTGGGCTTCAGCCGCCAAGCCGCTGTTGTGAGTCTCAACATGGAAATCCGTCCCCAGTGGTGCTGGGCCCCATGTTCTGCTTCATAGTCTGGCGTTTTCACCGGGTTGAAGGGAATTCTTCAGAGCTGACCAGGTCCCGGGGTCTCCCCACCGGTGGGACGGTCCCAACGGACCGGACCCGGTGGGACAATGCCGTCCTTTGGCGGATCCTGCGCTCTACCACCCCACATCCAGGAGAACATGGTCGGAGGTCTACGCTCGGAGTCGGCAATTGTGCTCTGCACTGAAGAAACGTGGGATTGGCAGAGGAGACGAGCCTTGGCTTGATGATCGGTCACGTCATTGGGCTTTAGTCACGTGTCGTACCACAGAAGCAACATGCCAAACCAAACTAAGTCTTGCGACTCTTGGCTTAGTCGCACCACTGCAGTGCGTTTGCTGGAATGTTTGATTTGGCGCCGCCTTCGCCTTCTCAGGGGGAGTTCTGAGGGCCAAAGGCTTTGGGCTTCAGTTTGTTCAGAACAATTTGCCACGGATCCTCGAGTCAAACATGCCAGGGGACCCCGGGAGAATTTGCCTATAGCAGTTTCAACATGTCTTAGACTTCATAGACACACACACACACACACACCCAGGTGTTGGCACCCCCATTTTGAGACAAGCGCATTGGTTAGCGCAGACAGTACAAGTGTGGGTGGGTATACCTTTATTCGGATCTTGGTCAATGATGTTCCTCTTTCTATAGTGACTATAGTGGTTGCACCCACATCAAAGACAAGCTGAGACTGACATTTGTGCTTTGCAACTACAGCAAATGCTTTACACCAGGCGGATTTGTTTTTTGTATTTAGAAATTGTTTGATCCAGGACAATCCGTTGTTTAATATCTTGCCCGATCCACCCGTTTGCAGAGAAAGGTCAATTTAAAGAGGATCGAAGACTGTATCCAGATCGAAAGACAATTAAACTAATACCTAAACACCAGGTACTGAGCCAATTACTAGACTATTAGACTAGATCGCAAGCAGGGGTAGACGCATGACAACAACTGGGACAGCCGGACTCCGGACAGAGTTTACACTGGTCTTCGGTCCCAGTCGGGGGACTTTTGGGTGCCTGTGGACTCAGGTAGTCTCGGTGCTTTTGAACAACTCTCCAGAGCACATCGAGGCCCCCGCAACTCATGGCGCGTTTCCGGCACCTGCGGGGGTGGTCGTATACCCCCCCACGCAGAACTTCCGTGCGGAAAGGGTGGGTGGCCGCAAAACATCGTGGCCATCAGAGATCCGGTGATGATGTTTGGCCCCAAGCAAGCTGAATATGGGGGTATGGTTATGGTTCGAATCTGGTTAGAAGATAAATTGAAGTTAGGATGTTATGAGTTCTTCTTGGAACCAAACCAAAGAAAGATGGATTTGGTGAAACAATCCACAGCAACCGACCCTGCGCGGTCGGTCGCTACGTAGCGTGACCGACCGGTCGACCGGTTGACAGTGGCTGAAGGATGTGATGTCGCTCGCACATGCCATGTATAAAACAGCCAAATACATGCAATGTACATGCAATATTATAAGTATATATATGATATGATATGCAATGTAGATCAATGATATGCAATGTAGATCAATGCAATGCAATGTATAGCACATGTAAGAGTCAAATGATTAAACATATTATGAACAGGAACGTGATGGAGATATGGTGCCATGCTCCCTTAAACATACTCATTGATACTCATTGTAGGTCCATGACACACCTGTGTGCAAGTCGTTGGACTGATATCATTTCAGGTGAAGACTCAGAGTCCTTGGACGTGCTGATGTGTTCAAAACAGTGTTTTTTTTTGCCTCATGAGTGTTTCATGTAGGGGATATAGTGTTTTTTTTTTTAAAGAGGTTCGATGGCACGGGCGCCTCTATTACAAGTCCTTTAGATGGGGATCCATAGAGAAAACACCAAACTTGGGGGCCCTTGCGTCATATAAGATTGATGGGGTCTGCATTTTCAGAGGTCTCAGCGTCTGAAACGCGCCGAACGTTCACGCGCGTCCCACTGCGCAGCGCGGTCGCAGGCGCACTTCGGCATCCCAATGACTGGTGCCGTGTTGAACCCTTTGAACTATCGACTGGACTCGCGGACCTTGAACTTTATGCTCTCCCATGCGGAGGGGAAGATCCTGATCGTGGACCGTCGCCTGGAAGAAGAATAGCATGTGTATGGGTCGTTGACAGAGGGACGACGCTTTTATTACGCATGGAAAAAGACAACACATGCCTTCCTCTCCACGATACGGCGAAGGGCGTCCCCTTCCTCTCCACGATGCATTCAAGACGATGCATCGGCGCCCAGAAGGGTCGGTTTGGCGTCGATGGAGAAGGGTCTGCTATTTGATGATGCCGTTTTTATGCCACGTGTTTTTTTTGCGATTGGCGGTCAATATATTTAAAAAATGTTACATTACACCATAATAGTAATATATAATGTATAATGTATATATATATATATACTGCCTACAGTTAGCAGAAGTACCTTCAAGTCTGAAGTCCTAAGCCTTAATGCATAAGGCTGAAGAGACCAAAAACAACAACACAAGACCTAGGTCATGAGCCATTGGATAGGAACATCACCAAAACAGAACCTAACCTTTCACAAGTCCTATTTTATTAGACCAGTTGGGGCATGTTTCAAGCAAACAGGACTCCACGACACAGGTTTTATGAAAAACAACCATGCCACAAGTTCTATGTTACTTCAGGGCTTACAGCCTAAGTTATCCGCACCCGGTATAGTACATGATACCCCCACTCAAACCTACCCCTGCCGATTTGTAACGGTATGTGCAGGGGGGCTATTATGTAGTTTGCAGGTAGTTTTCCACGTCGGTAGTTATTTGAGGTTTGTTTTGAATGACGGGGGGTGACCACATAATCAATGCATGTCGCTCGTATTTGGAGAGTCGAGTCAAGTTCACCGAATACCTTTGGAACAAATGAACAATTTAGATACAAGCATTGAAAAGCCAATAAAATAGCACACGAAAACATTAAAGAACAAAACACAAATAATCATACTAGTAAAAAGTAGACAAAACATAAAACTTTGAAACCAAACACAAACACTATTTTGTTGGGACTTGGACAATGGCACCTCACCTGTTTTGGGACTGGGGAAGTATGTGGATGGTCCAGACGGGTCCAATCCATGGGACTGGATGGGGCTACTACCCATACTGGTAGAGGTATGTGACTGAACCCATACTGTTCCAGTCTCAGAAAGACGGTCTGGGCATAGAGGTCCACCATTTTGAGGTCCACAAGCGGAGTCTGGAGATGTCGAATGCATTTGGTGAGCCCTGTTGCCTGGGCACGGAGTTCAGTGTGGTGAAGAGGTGCCGAATACCTATATCGATTTTTTATATGTGAATCCTCTCCATTCTCCACCTTGAGCTTGGTAGGTATTTACAACATGAAAGACTTAAAAAGGTCAATCTGCAGTCTGAGGCATTTCTCCCTCATCTCTCTGAGGTGAGTATAGCAAATTAGTGAAGGGAGTCTTGGAGGCCTGGCCGCCGGAGAAGCGCCCCTTCGTGGTGGACGTCGATGACCCACAGTGCCACCCGGGCCTGTTCACCGAAACTCGGTCGGTCCGGGCCGTGGTGCGGAATGCGAAACGTCTGGCGCACGCTGCTGTTTTGTTTGAGAGTCAACCTACCATCTTCCTCTATACAGTTTGCTGGAAGATTTGCCATAGGTTTGCAGATTTGTTTGCAGAATGGTTTTCTCCCGCATGTCTATTGCGTCCTGAGAAGCTAGAACACGTTCAGTCTCGGGTTGCTTGCAGATGAGTCTCCAATCATCAGACATCAATACGACATCTGCGAGTCTCACATGATCATACGTGCATCATACTGACTTCTGCATCAAAATCCTTCGTTCACCAGAGCTTCATGCAACCTTCGGTAGGTTGACTCCCTGACACCTTCACTCGGTTCAACGGAACACAATCCTCTCTCCATCCGCCCGGTGGAGGTCCGAAATCGCTTCGGTATGCAGCTCTGGTCGAATTCATGACGAAGTGACGTGATAGGAGGGGAACAATGGTAAAACCTTGGTACCGTGTGTCCCGGAATATATGTTTCTTGCCCTTCAACATACATGATTTTTTGATATGACCGCTGTTTGGCCTTTTGACCATCGAACTAGACGGGCTTGACACTCTAAGTGTGGCCACAGAGATCGAAGCGAGGGAACCCTCCAAGGCAAAGAGAACGGGCCATTGATTGGAGCCATGAATTATGAGCAACTTTTGGCCGAAGGACCGGTTCTGGAGTAACCCGACGGTTTTTCCGCAAGAGGGCGAGTGACGAGTGGCGTCTCAGCGACAGGTTGGAAGAGAGATGTCAAGATAGGGTGGGTGTGGAGAACGGAGATGATCAGCATATGTTATAATGGATGCTTTGGAAGACAGCTCTATTGCAATTAGGGGTGTCATAATGCGAGGGTCCACTGCTTTACTTAGACATTTGCAAAGAGTCCCGTTTGCCCTGGGGCCCTGAAACTGGTTCTCCCTCGAGCCCCCTGGACATATTCGAGTTGAAAAACTGCCACACAAGCACCACAACTTTCGCAAGTGCCGAGTTTGACTTCTATACAGGATGGGAGAATATGTTTGGCGTACTAGTACCAGGCGTGTACCTCTATGATTGTTGCTTGTTGTGACATGTATATATATATATATTACTGATAGGCGTACGGTCTGGCTTGGGAATGGACCCGTCACCTCATAGGTGCCAAGAGACCCGTTAGCCTCCAGGAGACCCGTTAGCACCCTGGGAGCCTCCAGCAGATGAATGGGACACCTTGTCCCTGTGCTACACCAGTGGTACCACAGCAGAGCCATGGACATGGATGGAACATGATGGAACGAAGATGAACGGATGGGGTGGGAAGTGATGTGAAAACAGTCCTCCAAGGTTTGATTAGATGGACGAATCTGAAACCATTCCAAAGTGGAACATTGATGAACATGGATGAGTGTCCAGTTTTGTGTCATCCTTGTTCTAGAACAATCCAATTCAATGATTTCGAATGTTTATTTGTGCCAAACGTGTGGATTCAAATTTACTGGAATGTTGTGTTTTCGATCAAAGCCCAACCGCTCCGCCCATCGTGTATGTCCTTGACTCGTCGAAATTGGTGGCCAGGAGCACTCTAACATGTCAGGAATGGTTTGACAGATTGAAAACGTGACGCATGGATAGAATTCTCACAAAAGCATGGACAATCCGTGTGTTTTTGTTGGGGAATCTGTCGAATATGTAAACAGAAACTGCGACATGGACGCGACAAAAGACAGCCTCGCCATCCGACAGCCTCGCCTGGCCGTCGAATGGCTTCGTTCCGAGGACCCTAAAGGTGTTTTGCTGCATCACCGTGGAGCGTATTTGAAGAGTGTGCATTTGATCGTGAAGTGGCCATTGCACCGACATTCCGTTTCATGGCCCATGGATCCGCCCGCCGTTTCGGGGTACGTGGTACGACCCCAGCTTCCGTTTCCCTGGGTTGCATAGAAACAGAACTGTGTTGTTGTCTCGACTTTGTCATAGATTGTTTTTGGTTTTGAGTTTCAAGCCGGCTGCAAAAGAATCAATGATTGGAGGGCTGGATTCCCAACCAAACAGATCGATACCCGGAAACAAAGTGCACCATCGCGACCCTCTATTGCAGTCATGACAGTTCTTCCGCACTTGTGTGTGTGTGAATTTCAATCTTCCATAATTCCAAAACATTATGACATCGGATGACGGTAGCAGGGCAGGGAATTCAGCACGTACAATTGTTTTTTGCCCAGCATGTGTTTATGATTTTTTATATTAATTCAGCATGAAGGCCTTCCAGTTTTTGTCAAGCAAGCTTGGTTGTGTACTTTGAACTCGAGGTCTACCTATGGACTGTGCCCATTTTCCATTTGAACGGCTGGTTTTTCCCCTACGCGGTGGCAGCTGTCGCGGGCGTCAATGTGTGCCTTCGAAAAGTGGTGGCCAATGACATTTTTGCGGCAGTGAAGGAGCACAAGGCAGATGGGGCTCTAAAGAGACCAATCAACTGTAACAGTTGAGCCGTGCTTGACTTTATATAATTTGTCAACCATTGGCCTTTGGTTGGACAGTTGCTCATGCAGCATTGCTAGTCCAACTATGTGTTCAGCTACTTTTGGGTGCTTCATAAACAAGGATTAAATCAAAGGTGTGTCATTCTCCTACTCATCTATTTGGATGCCTTTTCTTCACGATTAGGTCACGTCAGCCGCCTTCGTCTTCAGCCGGTCAGGTCACGCATATTTGTGGTGCTCCGATAGTGATGAGCACCATGCTCCTTGTATGAACCGCTTGACATACCCTCTGACTCACTGTATAACATGGAAGTAGAAAATGGTCCCTTGGAAGACTACTTTCCTTTATATATAAAGGGTTTCCACTCCCATGTTAGTGAGTCAGAGTGTATCTCACAGATGTTTTGCCACGCTTCAGCGCACAGAAACAGGTTCGCGTCCCAACTGTTGGTCCGCCCTGCGGTGTACACCTGGAAGGGGTCCGGATGCGGATCAGAAGGGACTGGACACACGACACCACGTGGCATGATCCATTGTGGCCAATAAACGTGATGAGCATGGATGGGCTATTTTGGGGGGGTGAAAGCTAGGAGGAGCCATACAATGTTGCACAACTCTTAGCAGAACTAAAAGGGGGGGGTGCTCAACCACTGGTTGAAAGTGCAGATGTCGCTTCGCCAGGTTTGCAACATTTTGCAACGGTTTCCACAGAGTGTAGAACTGCAGCTTGGTGACCAGGTACCACTCCTCCCATGCATGCTTTTTGAGGCCGTGTCTTTCATTGACAGGTGGGTTACAACCTCGCTTATCCTTTTCCGTTATGAGCAGAATTTGTAGGGACCCAACAGACTCACAGTCTCACAGCCTCTTCCTCTTCTTTTCTTCTTTGCCGCACTTAAGTCTATATGTTTTAAAGATACATCCTGCCTCCAAACACCTGGGATCCCAAAACTAGGACCCCAACCCTCTGAACCCATTCGGCAACGCGAGCGCTTCCGGTCATGCCCAGAACCTGCGCCCCAGATGTTTCCCGGCCCAAGCCGGGTCGGCTTTGCAGTCCAACGAAAGCATCCTCCAACCTCCGAAATCCGAAATTTGCGCGTCCGACGTCATCGACTTTCTGGTGAGGCTACAGTATTCAGGTTCCAAGAACTGGGACCAAGAACTGAAGTTCATGACCAGCGCAGCTGCTCCCCCCGCCCCAGTCTTGGCGCGCATGGCAGACTATGGCATCGAAGTGAGTGCCTTGGGCTGGGGCATGGCATCGCTGGCGAGTCCCCTTTTTGGGGGGTGGTGGGGAGTGGGGGGTTGGACTTTCATACAGGTTGAGTGACGCCAATGTTGGTCAGAGCGCAGCTTGGCGCAGCCAACTCTCAGTCCCAAAAAGAACTATAAGAGCTGCAAGTTCTTTGAACCGTATGTGTTGAACAAGATCGATCGATTCGCCTCAACTCCCATCACTGGAAACCTGTTGGAGGGTCGTTAAACGGCTTCGAAGCCGTTTTTGCCACAGGCCATGTCTATGGATTGACGGAGGCATATGGTACAGGCGGGAAGCCGTGAGACTTTTGGTCGGCATATGTGCGCAGCATGGATGTTCAGTGCATATGTCAGTGTGCTGTCAATGCTGTTTTGAAAGACCTGTCAGACAGGTTCAGTGAACTGTTTCAGTGAAAGACAGAATGGATGTCCTTCCATTCAGCTCGCAAGTGGTCCCCGAACCTCGAGCCGAGCACCTAACGATAAACATGACGCTCCCAAAGGGCTCCGAGGAGCTTCGTTGTCTTATAATCTTAATTCCTAATTCCACTATATTCCACTATTGAGAATGGATAGAGATGTTCACCATCTTCATATTCAACCCCAAATAGCTGCTTTGTTTGGCGATGTTCACTCCACGGGCTGCTTGAGTGATGAACTGGCAGAGACGGGCCGTGGTGGAACATGGTGGAAGAATGGCCACGCCAAAGGGTAACGGTGAGCGAGTGTTGGTGTCCGTAGCTCCGCGGCATTCCAAACTTCCAGTGCGTCACTACTGCATCACCGGGAACTCCATTAAAAAAGAAGATAGAAACAGGCATCCCAAGTTCCCAAGTATTACTTACAATGTTTTCCGCGACACTAGCTCCATTGAAATGATTCATACGGAGTCAAGTGGACCGACCCGGTCGATGTAGGCAAAGCAGTCGCCCGTTCGCTTTCCCTGGTTCATCGTGCTCCCGTTCGCCGTTCGCAGGTGTGATGTGCGAAGCTTGGGCTGAACAGCACTGAGGGTCCCAACAGACCAGACCATCGAGGTTTTGCCGGTTTTCTTGGGTTCAAAACAGAAGTTACAGAGAGGATACATTGTTATCATTGTTACATCCTTCGTAATCATTGGTCTACTGTATCCAATCGATAGATTTTAAGTTAATTTCAATCCAAACAAAACATATCGCATATCGGCATGATTCGGCATGGGTTCGCACTCGACATACATTGATACACAATGTGTCATAAGTTTATTTGGTAACAAAAGGTTTGATCCTTGGGAATTTCTTGCAGCATGGTATGTAATGCATCGGCCATAAGCCTGCATGTTTTTCCAATCTGGTCGTACTTGTAGTCCACAAAGTTCTTCCACATTTCATACACATTCCTAGTAGCTCTGCCATCTTACATATATATATATATACTTTTTGTCCACCTTGGGGTCTCCGGGGAGAAGCATGAATCTGCAACAATTTGCTCACAGGCCCTTTAGGAAGACGCCCTTTGGTCTACGAGATCTCCGAGTTGTTTAGCTTTATGATACGTACAGGAGGTGTGTTTGAGACCGGCTCGGGAACCGCCCCCCCCAGGAATGGAAGGATGAATGGAATGCCAAGACGTTGGACGAAAAGGCGGCACTCCTGGCGCGCCAGGGCGTTCGATGCTTGGAGTTCCTTGGAGCTTCGACATCAACGGCGGTGGCACTATAGGCTATAGGGCTATAGCATGGCTATCTATTTATAGGCTGTACAGTAGCACGTAGGATGTGTCTTCTGCAGTGGAGTTGCATCACTGCATATCACTGCAAACTGGCACCGGAAGGTTTTCAACTTGGGGGCATCCTTTTTTTGCCACAAACGAACGGTCTTGAATAGCATGATGTGCGACACCAGGAGAACAACTTTGCTGGTGTCCGCTGTCCCTGAAAGGTCAGCAGATGTTCATTGTACCCACTAAACTTAACAGTAAGTAGTTCACAGTTGTGGGTAAGCCTGTTGTACCATATCACAGCTGTTAACTTATAGCCTGTTATTGTACTGTTAGCTATAACCGGCTATAACTTATACTTTATGCATGTTCACTCCGCAAGGTCCGCAACTGGACGAGTCTTTCGGAACTGCCCCGAGTCAACACCGACCGTCCCCGCACCGAGGCAACACCGACTGTGGGGGGGCCGGTGTTGAGGTGCGGTTCGTCTTGGATGAGGGGAAGAACGGTATCTACCTGGTATCGCATACTACATCATACTACCAAAACAGACCGGTTTCGCATACGACCGGCCTGGTTTGCAAGAAGACCCCTCTTTTATCTTGCTACAACATCCTTTTCCCACCTGTCACCGCCGTCCTCGCTGTCACCCAGCTGTGGCTCCTCCGTGGTTTCCTCCGAGCCGTTCCTCGCCGTTGCTCCGAGGCTAGAGTACTTGGAGGTCATCGATCCAACGACCCGCAAGCCCGTGCCTCGAGATGGGCAAACGATTGGCGAAATCGTCATGAGCGGCAATACCATTATGAAAGGATCCTGGGCGAACGCAGGGAACAGGCTGGAGCTCGCTCCAAGAGCCGGTGTGGTGGTGTGGGGTCGGGCAAGGAGCTTCTGGAAGTGGAAGAGCGATGTTTTTACATGTTTCTATACTGGAGACGGGAGGTTGGTTGGCTTCGTTGGGTGTGGTTGGCTTTCTTCTGTCAAAATCTGTGATCTGTGGTTGACCATCGAAGAGTTGTGACATATTCTTCACATGCTTGTGGCTTCAGCGGTGTCGGCGATGACTGAAGCTGTTGACGAAAACGCGCTCAATGAATTCGACGTCGGGTACGGGGCTTCCTCGTGCAGTTCGTCGCTCGCTGGAATCTCCGTCGCCCGCCCCGTCGCTGCGACAGCGCTGGCAGGGCTGGCAGGGCCGGCCCTTTCGAGCCATTTTCAAGGCTTTGTTAATTATGCTTCATTGGTGAAGGGGAAAACATGGGAAAACCATGGTTTTAGTCGGGACTACAGTACAACCCCTTCTCCTTCATTGGTCTCCAAAAGCCTGAGTTGTTTTTTTCAATCCAAGGGTGTGTGAGGCGGTTTCATGTGCTTGGGTGTTTTCTCTTGCCCAGCTAGTCAAGTCTCTTTTGAATCCGGCTTTTTGGTGGCCACAAAATAGATAGACGCTTGGTGGTCACCAGATAGTGGTTATCGAATCACTATCCTTGGCGAATCACTATCCTTGGTACTGCACCATTCCTGTCACGACGAACAAGTCAAAGATAACATTTTTTGTGCTGACCAAGTGACACCAATTGGCCCAGTGCCTAGGACCTCTAGAACCTAGTGATGGGCAGCAAGGTCTGAGAAATGCCCGTGCAGCATTTTGAACGAATTGAGGATATTTCAAGAATCCAGAGGCCACTGCCAAGGAGTTCAAAGGTGGCGTGCCTTGGAGGTTGTTAGTTTTGGGGATTGCCCTCAAGCATGGTCTATAGTAATAGCCTTGGATCCAATATGTGCTAGGTTTTTCAGTGTTATTTTTTTGTGTGTATGTTTGTGTGTGTGTTTTGTTACTTGGTGTTCCATAATTATTTGAATGTGTTTGTGTTGACGTTGCTTGGGTACTGCTATATATATATATATCTTCACCGAAAGGTGATAGGAGGTGATGCATTATGCAAGGATATATGCAGCGCAAATGAATGTGCGCCGTAGCTTTCCCCGTTGTGTCCATGTCACAACAGCCAGGACTGCCATCACGTTGGCCTCCAAAACAAAGGTGTCATACCAAGGAAGCCAAACTTCGGGATTTGTGGATCCATTCTTTGTGTCACTGTTATCGTTATCAAGATGAGTTTGTCCACCAAAACATCCGTTCTTTCCTGGATACTTGCTGCTTCGCAACAGTCGAAACATCGGCCCGAGGGATGGTAGAAAGGACTTGGCCGCTTCGACCCCAATCCCGGTGTTTTGGCTCTCGTATGTGTTGGAGGATGGGTGCACGCCTGCATGAAAAGGACTGGCCGGCCAACAAACCACTGGTGACATCTGGTGACTGTATCATCAAATATGTGTTTGTCCTTTTAGTACCACGCATGTGCTTTTTGTGGAAGCGTGCTGGGTACAGGCATGTGCAGGCTGCCTTGACATGTTTGTTGGTGATTGATAGAGCGTGCTCATCAAGGTCTTCAACACTGGAGACCTGGGCGTGAGATACCCTGATGGCTACATCCAGTTGAAAGATCGATCGAAGGACACTCCTGGATATAGCTGGATCAGGCTTAATTTTTCATAGGGGATTTTGTGGTTGTTGCGTTCATTTGAGTAAATTTGAGCTTGCTTAATTCAGACAAGTGTGCCTTTGTTTGTCTTTGTGTGATTGATCTTGTTTGATATACTTTGCAACAAGCCTATTAAATACCGGAAAACATATATCCCCCAAAAAAATTGAAGTACACGGCCTGGACTGTGACTGGTGACTACTATAATAGGTTGGTGAGGCCTTGATTGGCCCAACAACATCATGTCGCCTTGGTGTTTGGCAGACCCTCGTCATGTTGCCCTGTGTGAGGTGGGGCACGGTGGGGGGTATATGTATGTTTGGCCTGTATGCCATTCTCGGTTTCCTCACAAAGTCACATATGTTGAGGATATTCTTATTATATATATAATTACATATGACAACTATTGGACTTTCCTTGGCAGGGTAGCGTGCCAGGACATTATCATTTCTGGTGGAGAGAACATTTCTTCGCTGGAAGTGGAGAGCATCATGATGAAACATGAGAAGATCGCTGAAGTGGCCGTGGTGGCAAGGCGAACCACGTAAGATCGAACCTGAGAGGCTTTTTTGTTCCAGGGGATGTCATCCTTGTTGCCACCATGTTTGCAACAATGTGTTGCTATTGTTGGGTGGCACTTCTTTGTTTTCAGAGCTGTTTTCAGAATACTGGAATTGTTAACGGACACGCGTTTGCACTTTGTTGAACCAACGCTTGGGTGACACACGACCACACGTGCATTTACAATTAAGTCAACAAAGCATCCAGACTACTGCCATGTTTCTGAAAGAAACGGTTGGTATAGAAACAGAAACATATATATATATATACGCATACAATGCATGCTGCATGCATACAGTCAGACATACCGACAGTACATGGTTCCCCTTTTCAAGACACCTACAGGGCTTCTACCATTCAACAATAAATTTACCTTCCATTCCAAGAAGGAGACCAGCGACCTCGCAGGCCTGACGAGAAGTGGGGCGAGACCCCGGTGGCCTGGATCGTCTGCCGAGATGGCCAAACACTCACAGATGAGGCATGTGGCTGCTCTGCACCGGAGCTCATGGCGTCCATTGATGAATTGTGTTGAGAGATAGAGGTCGGCAAGCTTGAGGAGTTCGTATGTCTCAAGTTTTGTGGGGAGTGATGATGTCCCAACGTCTTTGGAGTCCTTGGTCTTCCCCGAAGCGGTGTTTGAAGTCAGACCGGTATAGCTGACGCATAGGTACTGCCCATCAGTGAGATCCTGATTTGGGATTCAACTACCACCACTGGCGGGTGGAAGTTTGCAGACTCTTGGTGTGAGGTAGCATCAGGAACGCACATCTATACAGGGCCATAATTCATGAAATTCTCGGGCGTCAAAGCCAACTGTGAGCCACCACTCCCGTTCGGCTCAAAGTAGACAGGGCGACTGGAGCCGAACTTGTCACTTTTCGCTGCAGGAGATGTACAATTGGTGCAAAGATCACAGAATTTTGGCTACATGAGTGGGACTTGGCCCCAAACTTTGTTGAGGACCTTTTAGAGTGGGGATTGGGTAGCAGGTTCCATTTCCAGCATTCTAACCGGGTATACTGCATGGTGGAGCGATTCTTCCACCATTGGGAATCTATCGACACAGAAAGAACAACTGTTTGGCCTCGCCAATCAGCTCCCATGCACACAAGTTGTTTCTCCTAGACATTCTTGAGCAATTGGCCCATGGATTTTGAGCAGCAGGGAGATCCTTCAGAGGTGAATTAGATAGTGGGCACAGAGTATAGCCGTCTATAATGGTCTATAGCAGTGCTTGGCCTCCCCACAAGGACCCTGTCTAATCCAAGTACTCTCCAAAAGGGCCATGTCCATCCCCCAACAGAGAGCAAGCGAGATGTCATCAGCCTCTTCTCAGAGTCTCAGAGTGTTTTTTTTCTGTTTCTCGAAGATTCTCAGAGTGGGTGTTTCGTGGGAAATGCGGAGAACCTGAAGATCATGGAAGAGATGGATAGCAAAATGCGGACTGATCACTGATCACAACCGTCTCTTCCCACGTCGGGCCTCTGACTTCCAACTGCTTTAGCTAAGGGTTTGTTTGGCAGATTGACTAGTGTTGAGTTGGTAAATCATGATGTTTGTTTGTTACCCTTGTTTCATTCCCGAACACTCTTTCAATCTGACATGAACATTGATTCAAGTGCGTTCATCGTGTTCCATTTTTAAACGGGACAGGCTGTTGCACTCTTGAGATTGCAGAACTTGAGCGGTCCCGCTTGCATGCTCATTTGCATCCTAGTGGCGCGCTATATGGTGCCGCGGACCTTCGTGTTTGAGAGCCTCGAGGGCGTCAAGACGCTTGACGTAGACATCAGGGTGTTCGTTGGAAGCACGACATTGGGATGCAGGGCGCTTTTGGTACAGTCAACAATGATGTGGACATGAGCAGCATGTTTGAATGTTGTTTGTTGGCATTCCTTGGGCTGTACAGTGTGCCGGGAACCAAACACATCCAAACACTTTACATTTGATCATCAACAGCTTCCGTGTTTGTCAGGATTCAGGAAAGAGTGACATGATGCCATGCAAGTTGTTGAGGGCATTTGGCACTGTGATGGCGCTTCACATAACGCATTTAGCCCATCGTGGCTGAGGAAGACATCTCTCAGTGGTAGGATCCATTGGCTTTGTCCGGCTTCCGAGACCTGAGACGTGGAGCGATCCTGAGGACCCCAACGGGCAAGATCCAGAAGCAGGCCGACCCGGTCGAGCACCGGTGGCGCGGAGCTCAACCGCTCCGCTCCCGAGGATTCGACCCGCTCCCCGTCTGGCCTGGTGTTGCGAACCGTCGAGTCAATGATGCTCAACGCCCATCGCGTGTTTTCCATGAATCCGGTAGGCAGGAACATGCAGGAACTGTAGCCGCAGTCATTTCAGGTGATGAGACAGGCTCTGAGGACAGGTGATGGCAGAACTTGGTAGAACCAAGAACGTGTTTAGGCAAAGGAGAAAACACTGTCTCTCCGCACAGACTTCTTTTCCTGTGCCCGCATCAAAAGTACATCCTTTAATTCTGTGCATGTGCTTATCTTTGCATCAAACTTGCCAAAGCTGCCAAAGCTGATTGATACTCCCATTTACTCCCATTTGCGAATGAAGCAGTGTAATATACGTAAACTTCGGACAAGAAGTGTTTTCACGGCGTGTTTGTTATACTCCGGACGTGAAAAAAGCGCAGATTGCAGGTGCTGAGACAAAAAGCCAAAGACTTGGACAAGAAGTCCTTCACCATCGTTTCCGCCGACGATGCAGCTTGGTCTACGGTCGAGACGACCCGACCGAGGGGACCGAACCGTGTGGGATTTTTTCCACAAATGGTGGTGAACCCGCTTACGGGGTATGGACGAGACCATCGTCAGTGTACACAGGTGTTCTGTGATTTTTTTTGTCCAGGTCCAGTTTTTTGTTGGTTTCTGTCTCGTCTTTTGTTTCAGCTTTGTTTGGGTGGTTCCACAATTCAACAATATGTCGGCTGCGGGGGGGAGGAGGGGTAAGAAGGGAGAACTGTCCCAACGAGAGGCTTTGAGTTTGGAGAGCTCTTCGCTCATGGGAAATTGGGAAAGATATGTGAAGTATTGTAAAATTGTGTGGGTGTTGTATCATGGATTAAAGTGAAATATAATGCAATTAGTTCAACCATGTTCAACCTGAACCAAGAAGGAAGAGTCAGACGCGTACAAACTACTGTAATCTTTGCCCATGTACCTCTAAAACAATATGTCTTCAAGTTTGCCAGCTGCAAAATGCCTGGAACTGCTGTACACCACCGTCCACCATATGCTTTGTTTCCGTTGGCATGCACAAACTCAAACAAACATAGTCCCATTGAGGTCAATATAGATCAATTGCAGGACTGAGTATTTCACTCTTCTTACCATCTCCATAGCCTGACGCCACGATGTATGTCGTATGATCGGACCAGCTGAACGACTAGTCGACCAGCGTCCGGTTGCTCGTCGACCAGCTCGTCGACCAGCTCGCCGGACAGTCGAGGCTGCAAAGTCCAAGCTATGATGCAGGAGGAGTCCAGGAGAGTGCTGTGATGCGGGATCTCAGGGTTTTCTGTTGGACAGATTTGTCAAAGAGTAGATTATGATTATAGTAGAGTAGATAGAAGGAATGGTTTAGAGTCTCCACCTGTCCGACATGTTTGTTGACAATAAGATTGAATTGCATTTTGTCTCCACTTGAAACATTGGCAAGCCACACAACAACTCCCTGCCGCGCCTGTGGGGAAGGCTGAAACCTGGCCAAGCATTCTGACAGTTTGCTCACGGCTGTCCAAAGGGTTGTCCTGGAATCAACATCAACATCTGGCAAGCCGGAAAGGGTCACAGAGCGAAGAGCCACCGATCATCCGAAGTCTGACATTGCCGCTGCTTTGTAGAGGAACCGTTTTCAGATCCGTGTTCAGCGGTGGGCCTGGGATGTCCTTCTCGCTCCATTGCGAGGAGAGAGAAGTTTGCTCAACTGGTGCCCTGGCGTACTTCTCAAGTCCTCACTCATCGAAGTTATTATGATATCGTATGTATATGTATGTATACTTCTGAATTACTTATATGCTTTGCGGTTGTTGAAGGATCACCACCTCACTACAAAGATATCACTACATCCAACAATATGCTGCATTTTTCAGGCTGCCAATGCCACAGAACACTTTAAACGCGTTGCATGGTTTGTGTCCTGGTATTGCCGTATACCTATCAAATGTAGGTCGCCCAGAGGCCCAGAGGTGAAATCTTTGATTTTGAGCGGAATGCCAACAAACAATTCTCCAGTACACATGAAAACAAACAACTTGTTTATTGATGTAAGCTATATAGTAGAGTAAGAAGGCAGAAGGCACAGCTCCTTTGCACCAGTTAGCGGAAGATGCTTGCTACTGGGCCAAGCAGGTCCTGGTCATTGGGACGCCAGACAAGATCTTCACCTCCCAGCGGGATCATTTGAACCTACAGCTTTTGAAAGGAACTCGACAGGCTCCGGACCATCTTAGTGGAGGGTGGGTCACAGAAAGGAGCTGCGGCAGGAAGTTGATCGGACTGTGAAGAGTGGGAAGATGACGAGTGTATGTTTCAATAAGTTCCTTCAGATCAGCAACATGTGGTTTTGCCTACATCTGGGCCCTTGCGATGCACTAGGATGTGGCCTGTCTGGGGATTTTCAATTCATCGCCAGTTTTGCTGCTTTGAAACTGGTACAGCAAGTACCCAGGACAAGGCACCAAGCTGCCAGCTCGTGACCAGTGTTGCAGTGGCAACCGGACAATTTAGCAGAGTGAGAGATGATGCTGTTTGGCACAACAACTGACATAATTGACTGCTTTCATGTTTCTTTTGCATCAATCTTGAGACACACGCCGTCAAAAACGTTTTCCCGGCCTCCATCTACATCTTGTTTCTCAAATGATTGTGACTCCAGTTGAAAGCCGTTGCCTGAAGCAGCATGGTCCACGACATAGTTTCCAAGGCAGGTTTCATGCTTGCGGCGCCCAGAAAAAGGAATTGGAGTGCCGTTTTTCGTATTGGCCATTTGGTGGACCAGACATTGGCTTGGAAGGACTACCGAGATCGAAGATATCAACCTACTGCATCTTCAGAAGTATTTTCTTTTAATAAATAGTATTTTTTTTGTTACAGAGCTGGAAGTAGAGAGATCGCTTTATGAGCATACCAGAGACGTTGACAATGTCTGCTCACGTCCTCACAGGTTGTGAAGGGATGCCAGTGGATAGTGATGGCTATCCCTACCAGTCTGAAGCTTAGCGAAGCTCGCTGCTGCCCTTGACGGGCCGTGTGAGCTGCCTTACCTTGGTTGCTCAGTTTGGGGAATTCGCTGGGGTCTGGAAGCTGCGCTCCACACTGACCAAATAGACGTTCGCAGAAGCAGCAAGAAAGTCAACTGATCCCATATATGAGGGTATTGAGCCATAGCCGTTGAATGCCGTTTAGATACATTCAGGCCAGGCACCCTGCCAATGACACGGGTCCTGGTAAGAAGATGTGTTGACTAAGGTCAAGCACACCAACATGATTTGCTTGTTGTGCTGCATATATATAATTATATATATATATATTTATATTAATATTAATGGGATATATCATGATGTACTGGGAAAAAGCTCGTAGAGTTGCTCCAGACACAATTTCTACAATACACTCCATTGCTGGATCAAGAAGAACCAGGGATACAGTTACTTGGGATACATCGCAACGTGAAACACTGGAAGCCAAGTTTAATTATCCTTGCATAGTTCCTGTGTTCCTTCGTGACCTTGGCTCGCGGCACTTACCAGACATGGATCAAAGAAACGTTTGGATGAGGACCCGACTGGTTGATCCGTCGTCCATTTCTGAGTTGTTCCATTTGAGCCGAGGCCCACTCCCACACTTGTCACTGGCTTCAGGGGGCAAGTCGCGTGCTCAGAATGATCACAGTCACACTCATTCGCACCCATTGGCATGCGCACAATCCTTGTTCATCAACAAGTCTGACCGCTCATCAGAGACTCTTAATTTGCACCGATCCTGATGGTATAGCAACCACCCTTTGTTGCCCTATCTTCACCGTGACGGTGATGGGTTGCATGACAGCAGTGGGCCACTCTCGCTGCTTCGAACCAAAGCAGTGGCTGTTTCGGTTGGGCATTTCCCAACCTCGCAGGACCCCAGCCCCGACACAGCTAGCGTAGGCGTAAGCGGTTGCGGTCCAGTGCCAAAGGCCAAACGGGCCAGTTGTGGCCCGAAACAACAAGGCAGAAACATGGTTAACAGAAATTGTAAAGCTGACGTGTGGATCAAAACCCTCACCCTCTAAAAAATCTAAAAATGAACGGAAGAGGCTACTTCACCTCTGCCTATATCCAGCATTCAGTGGTCGCAGCAAGCTTTGCTCTTGGTCATAATCTCGTATCCGATGCAGTGGGAAATAGGGTATCCAACTCATTGTAACTTACAACATAGTCTTTTCAGGTTTGCTGGCATACCAGCTTACAGTGACTCTCCACCCAAAGTCGTTATAACCATGTGTCTCTCCCAGTGCATCCACTTGGTCCACAGACAGCGTTTTGAGGCAGTGTTGAAGGTGGCGTGCGGTGGAGTGCGGAAGCTGAGGGGGCTTCAACGCCCGGGCGACCGGATCACCGCACCTGGTGGCGAAAGTCCGACATCTCCAGGTGGTGATGCATCCAGAAAGCAAGGGTAGATCTTCATCCTGAATATCGATTTGACCTCACCATCCATGGGTTTTGGCCATGTTGAGCATTGCTGGATGAGAGCAACAGCTGGGTATCCCAGGCACATGACCATTTGAGGTTGCCATGACCATTTTCGCTGCGAGTGATGTCACAGGATACTTGGAGTATATTTGTTCTGGAACATGTATACCGTACTGTACATCGTTTTGCCCCGATGCAGCTGCACCTGTTGTTGGCGGACAAGTTGGCAGGCAGTTTTGACTCTAGCGCAATAGAAGCAGAGTATTTGTTCAGGGGCCCAATTATGTGTTCAGTTCAATGAGTTCTATAGTCACCATGAGAGCCAGCAGAAGTTTTGATGCAGCAGCGGTGAATGATGGTAGGGTGAATTCATTTGGGTGCATGGCAGACGAAGCCCCAGTGTCTACAGTATGTAGTATTTCAACCAAGGGTGCTCCCCTTGAGTTGTTTTCAACCATGAAATGACGGCTTCTCTTTGCTGAAGGTGGCTGGATCCTCCAGCTAGACACCCCAAGCACAAAACATCACAAAACCTTTAAACGGAGCTGCTCACAGGAATGACCAACCAACTATGTTTCTTGGTGTTCTTGTTTAGGGCTCAAGATCGCTAGAGCTTTCAGTTCTAGATCCACTTGTTGCCCCAGTCGTCAATTCGACGACGATAGCCATATCCTCACGCCCCCGCAGCCCTGTCTGGCATCGCTTGCTTAGACGGAGAAGATCTCGGGCCAGGAAATTCTTGCGGCGACTCAAGAGCTGCAAAAGGCTGACAAGAAAAACAAAGGACAGAGTCAAGGTCCGAAAGCAGCTGCTCGAGAAGCACCACTCGAAGCCACGATACGTGATCCCATTGCTGAGTGCGATGACATGGAAGAACAAGGGACAGAACAGTGGCCGATGGAGCAACTGGAGTGGAGACTGGAAGACGACAGACAAGTCCGACAAGAAGAAAAAGGAAGAGCCACAAGGAAAAGGCAAAGCAAATGCAGGACAAGTGACGATCCTAGCATACGATGACCGCAGAGTTGTGGTGCCAGAAGGTGGTGGCAACGGTGGTTCGTCATCGGCATCATCATCTGGGCTACAGGAAGAGAATCGACGCTTGAAAGAAGCGTTCCGATCCATCCTAGATGGCACGGCAGACGAGAAGACGGAGGACGAGGTACGGGGACTCATTGCGACAGATCCCCGCGAAGCCTTACGCCAGCAACAGAAGGAGCTCAACAAGCAGAAGAAAGCTCTCACCAAGGCGGAGAAAGTTCGTGCTACTATGGAGGAGAAATCGGCCAAATGGGCTCGATGGAAGACAGGCTATATGAAGGGCCTGGAGATGGAAGAGCAGCGATACAAAGAAGAGATGAAAGAGCTCGAAGCCGAACTCAAAGAAGTAGAGAAAGAGAAGGAGAAAGAAAAGGATGGGACCATGGATCTCGATTCCGATGGTCACGAAGACGACTACAAGAGGAGTGTCGACGACGAGCTGAAGACCTTCCGTCAGCAAATGGTACAGATGTCATCCTACGTCCAGTTGATGGAGCAGAGGAATCAAGACCTGACCACTCAGATGCAGCAGTTGATCACTGCAGTGAGAGATGTCAAGCCGACAGAGCTGACAAGGGAATCACCGCAAGTGGTCAAGCCGCCAACAATGGCGAGGCTGGATGGAGAAGACAGCCAAGACGAAGCGAAGGGAGAGAAAAGATCAAGATCGCGGTCCAGAACGCCTCGAGCTTTCGAACTCGAACTCCCGAGCCATTTGGCTCCGGAGGCAGAAGGATTCCTTCCTCTCATTCAAGGAATGGCAGAAGAGACTCAGGATCAGATGCTGGCAATTCTCAAGGCGGAACCCGAGAATTTTCAGAACTCGGAACAAGTCAAGCAGCTGATTCATGTGATGACTGTGCAACAATGTGCTGCACAGATCGAAGTCAAGGAGGGAGGGAGCGACTCGAGCGACCCAGTCTTGCAGATGAAAGCCAATCAGATCAATGTGTTGAAGCCATTTGGGATGCCAAGGGAGCGCAAAGCTGTGAAAAGGGGAGCACTTCCCCTACCAGCGCCCAACAGATCGGTGACGCCCAAGAATGGCACAGAGAGGGCAAAGGAACTCAACGGGATGTCGTGAGACGCTGCCCTATGAACACTTCTGGATTGGGGAAGCCTGAAGTAGTTTCTGTTTCACCTTTTCACTTAGAACAGCATTCATGCGCCCAATTTAAAGGCTGCAGAAATGCTAAGTTTTGCCAGTTTTGGAATTTTAGTTCCTTGGAGTACGAGAGCACTTCTTATGGTGATAGCCTGTTTAATCAGGAATGCCGTTCGACCTCGGAAGCCACGGAGCTGAGTGACCTTGATGCTCGTAGGCCCTTTCGTTCTTGGGGCCCTGATTGGTCAACGATACAGCTTGGTAGAGAGCTCATTGAATACCTTTGTGTTTCAGGCTCTGTGTTTCATGGTAAGAGCGATGAGGCTGAGGCCAAGGGTTGGTTGTTGCCCGGAATTGAGGACTGCATTTGTAGGACCCTTTCTCTTGAATGGCTTGTCACTGTTCATAGAGCCTTTTCCGCTTGGGTTGCTGCAGTTCTTTGGTTGTTATGTCTCCAGGGCTATGCTGTTTGCTGGAGCCTGACGGTTGCATATGCTGCCTCGTGCTTTTATGCATTGGGTACAGATATATTTCGGAATAGGATGTGCAAAAGAATCGGTCTAAGTAATTGGCCGCCGTTTGAACGATTTCTCATCGGAGCAGCTTCCATGACTAGTAGTCTCTGCCTTACTGCTCTTCCACTTGAGCTGCTCGAGGCCGACACGGAGGCAGGACCGAGTCTCATGATGCATGCAGTGATGATCTTTTGCAAGATCCAATTTGGGGGCCTTGTAGGATTAGGTCTTTGTCTGTTCCTCAAATGCCGAAGCAGATGCTCCCAACGCATGTCCCCTGCTCGCTTCTGTGGAGCACAGAGAGCACGTCCAAAGTTCCAACGAAAGAAAAGCATCTCCATTAAGATGCTGATTATTGTGGCCCAGATCCTTTCGGCTGAGGCCATTGCTGTGGCTGAACGATCGAGTAGTTCTGCATATGAGAATCGATCAGGACAGCTGTTCTCTTCGCCTTGTGGAACCTGTCCTAAACCTGCTGATTATGACTATCAGACAGAAGGCCTTGCAGATCTTGGTTCACTCCCTCAGGGTCCGAGTGTCAAGCCTGCAGCTCCACTCCGGTGTCGAGCTAATTCGACAGCATTCGTAGACACGTTACATGAACGCCTCGATGTTGTAGATGCCAGTTTTGACTCACATTTTGATGGTTTGTCTACACACGATGACCATACCAGTGAGGAATGTCACGAACTTGAACATGATCCGCAAATCCTGATGCAGGTGCCAGCGCCAATTCTTGACATGATTGCCACATACATCCTGAGAGCCTGTGAGGGACGAGAGCTGTGCCGAGTTGCTACGTGGTATCATTCGATGGAAAGGATTGGTGATCTGCAACAAGTTTTGCGTGAAACGATATATAGCGATGCTTTCCCTGCTGGACCATCCTACCGTGGAGTTTGGGCTGATCTGCTGGGAAGACAGACGGGATACCTCTTCTCTGTTCACCCACTGCCCATTGGTGAATATGGTGCCACTCCTAATGTCATTGTGATGCCAGTGCAAGGAGAGCATCTTATTCCGACATTGGTTGATCTAAGAGAAGACCAAACCTTTACCAGAGGCACTTTTGTTTTTACTGCGAGCAGGATCTTGACAGCTTCCCAAATTTTTGCACAAGTCCAGCCAGGACTTGACTGCATTTGGACAGCCGATTGCTATATCACAACAGGACCATATGATGCAGAGACAACATATACTTGGTACACGTCTGTCCCACTCACTGAAGGACAGTATCTAAGGCTGAGGGTTGTCTATCGAGGCGAAGAAATGGTTACTACATGTAGCGGTGACAATAGTGCTTCAATACCGACTTCTGAGAGCGATACTAGTGGCAGTGCTGTTATAGCTGATCTTGGAGGGACCCTCTATCAAGAGGAAAGTGTGGCTGCTGGTGGGCGCCAAACGGAGGGGTCCGGTGGCTCACACCCCTCGGCCACCGAGCAGACTGATAGCACACCGACTTCCGAAGAGTCTGAGGCTAGCAGTACTATGCAGCTGATATACCAACGACAGAGATTCCAACCGACGAGGCCATTTCATGGTTCCTGCTTGCTTTCTGTACAGAGAGACGATCTCCTTCGACAGTACTACTATGACAATGTAGTAGTGACACCCCCTGACACGTATATGAGCCAGGTTTGGGTTCTACCCGAGATCAACCAATTAGCAGACATCCCGATTACCCTCTTTCGAGGGAATGACAGAAGGCAAATGTCAATTCAAGCGTCTGCTGTTTGGAGAGGACATGATGGTGTGGGCATTGGGCAGGCTATTCTGTGTCACCCACGACCCAGGAAAATTATGTCAACACAAGTTCCAACGCATCATCTCCTTCTGACTCCCTTGTATGTTGACCGATCAGGAACAACAGGTTTGCTCCTCGATGTATATTTAGAACATGCTGCAAACAGTCAACCCCAGGAAAGAGTTGCCCTTCTGGCCAGACAAGCAACTGTTCGAGGCTTGTTACGCATTTTGGGCTACTCCCAGTACAATGAAGCGACTTTGATCTATCGTGACCAAATGCGAGAAATCCGATTTGGAACTGATGAAACTGTTGACCTCCCAACAGGGTCCTATGTCCATCTCTATCTCAATGTCCCAGATGATCAATGTGGTACTGATTTTCCTGACGCTGTGACATTGTTCCAATTCGGGCATCCTTACCAAATGCGGGACAGTCTGGCCTCAACACAAGGGCGAAATTTTTTGTCACGAACCAGGTTTCATCGAATGCAAGATGCCCTAAGAGAGATGAATTACCACCAAGATGTGAGAGGCACTTGGCCAAAGATTTGGTTCCACATTGTAGGATACGGACAGCCAATGATCTATGACCATGAGGATAACTTTACGTTTAATCCTGCTGAACTGATCCCGCTGTTCCGACATGCGTTGCGAAATTACTATGCTGCAGACCAACGCATTGACCTTGGTTACATTGACATGCAGCCTACGCCACTGCAAAGCGGAGATGATCGGGCAATCCATATCCTGGTCACCCTGAGCGGATGGATGGCCGAAGTACCGACACTCATTGTCTGGCAATGGGAAGATGCTACTACGCAAGCACAATGGTATGCTGTGATGGCACCACGACTTGTGACACAAGATGATTGCATCGACCTTATTGGCAAAAGATTCTTTTGTACAACGACTGAGGTGCAATGTCAGGCCTTACATCAAGGGGTTGATCAAATACGAGATGTACCTATGTCGATACGAGCTTGGCAAAGAATTGACGTAGGATACCAATTTCAAAGACAATTTAGCTGCACCGAGGAGCCCGATCAGCGAGAGATGGTCCAATCGGGTGACAACACTGCAACACCCAGAATTGACCATCCTCCTCTTTCTCCAGCTGATTCTACAGAAACAGATGATACATTGAATCTTATGCAGACAATGGTGTCTATGCGCCAGATTGAAGATTTTGCCAGAGCTGCGGAACGAGGCATGCCGCTTTATCAAGTACTCTGGATCAGCCGTAGGATGGTTACTGACATCTGGATGAACGAAGGTCGGGATGTTGGATTTGAACATTTCCGCGTGCCAACACCGGGCATCTGGGAAAAACAGGTCCGGGGATGGCAAATTCTCGCATATGAGCAACTGATTGGAGAGCCGTTTGCGGTGCAACTAAGGCGAACAGGCCTCTGGGCAACGCAATTGTTGGATCCGTTCGAATCCGAAGGATTTCTCAGAATTGGTTTCATCACGGTCTTTCCGCAGCCAATCATGGATGGAATTAATGGAGGTCCCAGAAGTGTCTCAGATACTGTGGTGATTGCTGTAACTGAAGAAGTTTTAGCATCAGATGCGCTTCCCTTGGTTGTCCTACATTACCTGAGTGGTGAGCGACAGTTGGTGGCTATCCAATGTACACCAAGCTGCTTTCCCAATCATCTCTGCTTGCTGTTGGGCCATGGTGAGAGGTGTTCGCTACCCAATGAGGCCGTGGTGTACTTCCGCCATGATGATGTCCAACGTACTTTCTCAGGATTTGAGAGGATTGGACTACCTCCGGCAGCACACGTCCAACTAGGTATCAGAACGGCTGAGAACTGTGAAGAGGCCATACCTAGGCTGTATCCACTTAGGGAGCATGAGACTCTTATACTCCCAGCCACAGGGCCGGAAAGACAGGAACTGCAGCATGAGCCTTCTGACCAATCGGAAACTGGCTTGTCTTTTATGCAGACCCAATGGGCTCTTGAGATGGAAGCAGATGAGCAGTCTTTTCTCCGAGCTGCAGAAGACTTAGTGAATGCGGGCCAAGCTGGGGTTAGCGTTTATCCTCCAATGATTCGGATTCACAGTGAAGGAGCAGGCCAATCAGATCCTCTTAGACAATATCTGCAAGATTTATATCCTATTGAAGATAAACCAGTGTTTACTGTCCATGTCTGGGCGGTAAGACATGATGTTGCGGCTTTTGCTAGGATCATTCCGATGCTTCAGGCGAAATCGTTTACCCAGACATTGCTTAGAGATTGGGATGACTTTGCTGACATGCAGCCATGGTGGGTATATGCGGCTGACCCGCCAGTTAGCCCAACTTCCTTGAGGCTGGTGCCTGCAGATCTGATTATGATCACCCAGCAGCAAAAAGATCAATATGACAAGATCTAGGTTGATATCCTCTATACGGGGCTGCCCAAGCGAGTTGCGACACTGTCCCGAATGAATGACCAAGTCATTGATCTTCTTCGGAGAATGGGGCTCCGAGAAGTCTGTACTACAGGCAGGCACATTTGCTTGTTGCAGAGCTCATATGCGCCCCTACGACAATGGGACCTTCTCGATTATATTGATGAACCACATGGAACAAGCCTTTTCCTGCAGTTCCAGGCCACAAGGACTGATGACTGCCAGCCTGATGAGGCCATGTTGCTGCAGACCGGTGATGCCTTGAATCCCAACCAGCTTGGTCTACGAGACGATCGGGATTATGGAGATGCC